GTCCACTGCAGGAGACACGAGACGCAGCTATGCTGCCAGAGACCCTAGGGGTGTCGTTCTCTCATAGCCTAACCAGTGGAGCTATACAGCGACAGATGTGGTTTTATGGTTATGATACTGAGAAGGAAATAGACAAGGCATTCGAACAAAGAAGGTCTATGAGTGAGAAGAGTCATCCCTAGGCAAGTGTCTGACTTTACAGGTTTATGGATGAATCGTAACGCAGACAATAGGCAAATTCAAGCCTTCGTTAGGATCAAATTGCAATCAATCAGATGTGCTCAGTCCGAGGATAATTCAAATCTGGGCTCTCTCCACCCGCCTTCCAATCTCATCAAAGTGAATCTGCTTGCCAGTAACTAGAGCTTCCTGGAGGTATGCACCAATCTCAACAGCCTTGACTGCGTTGCTCAGCTTCATTGGGAGTGGCGTGTTATCCAAGCATGCGGCGGTAAATTCGTTGGCTTCTGTCACAAACGCAGGCCCGAAGCGACCTATGAAATTAGAGGGAGCCTCCCGAGTAATACCTTCCGAGTGGTAGAAGTTCACCAAGTTACGCTGTGGGTTGCAGTTCACAGACAACTTGCCCTCGGTGCCAATGACTTCTGTGGTGTCTTCTTGGCCATGCGCCATCATGCGAGAGCAATAGTAGTATGCAATCTTGCCGTTGTGGAATTCAACAATTCCAACAGCGTTGTCATAGTCTTTGAACTTCTTCAGCTCCGGCTGAACAGCGGTTATGCCATATGCAGAGATAGTCTTGGGGACCACGTCGTCGCCGAAGAACCACAGAGTAAGATCGATGTCGTGTACGGACATGTCCACGAAGACACCTCCCGACCACGCAGAGTACGCGACATAAAATCCCGAAGGATCATATTTATCGCAGGTCTGGCTCCGAAGGACCGAAGGTCTGCCGATGAGCCCTTGGCTGATCTTGTCGTAAACGTCACGGTAGGACTCGTCAAATCGTCGAGAGAAACCGCACATGACCTTAAGATGTGGCTTGGTTCTCGCCTTGTTTACGACAGACTTGCACTGAACGTCCAGGTTTCCAGTTAGTATATGGTAGCATGTCCAGTTTCCGCTACCCGTGGGGGGATGTAGACCTTACCACTTCAACATCAATAGACAACGGTTTCTCACAGAGGACATGCAAGTCGCGATCGATAGCTTTGATCGTTTCTTCCGCATGGACAGGGGTTGCAGTACCGATAGCGACGGCCATCAGTCCTGGGTGCTCAAGCATCTTATCGTAGTTGTCATAAAGAGTGACACCGTACGGCTCAAGATTCTGTCTTCCCCAGGCGATCTCTGCGGGGTCAGGCGAAAATGCAGCAACTAGTTCAGCACGGGGAGTGCGGTGCAGGAAGTTGATCGCATGGAGCTTGCCCACTCGACCTAAGCCAGCCATGCCAACCTTAAGCTTCTGTACTGCCATTCTGGTGGTCTGTCTTCGAAATTGAACAATGAGTTTAAGCGGCAAAGAAAAATTCACTAGGTAGCTCCTATATTGTTGACGGAAAAGAAGTCTCCAGAGCTTTGCTCATCTCAAGAGAGTCGATTGATCAGGGAATTTGAACATCTTTATAGACAGGCAACGACTGAGGACCCCAGCGTCTCGATTTCATCGCAGACTGGTTGTGAGGGTAATTCGAGACCAGGAAAGTATCTCCGGAGGTAGAATAATCTGAAATTAACCATTTTACTGGTCACAGAATCTTACGTTGATAATTGACAATGTCCAAGTCCTGCAGGGAGAGTGAAGGTGGAGCAGAACTGGAGCAAACAATCTGGAGAGAGTTACCCTTTATGGCCGGAGACACTTGCCTGTTCGGAAGAATGAGAATATTTATGACAAAGGTTGTGGTAGCTCCTGGGGGTCTCCACTCTTAGGCTAGGCCCGACCTTAACCCAACCCATACCCTGGTGGGACTAAGTTGGACGCGGGAGCGTCCCACAGGCTGCGTCCCCAAGTCTACTGCCTAGGTAGGACTCGTATGAGAGGACCAGTTTCCAGAGCCTGAGCTGTGTACTCCTCAGGAAATCAGATATTTACGAATAATTGCATTCAAAGGAGAGTAAATGACATAAAGCACAGTCAACATTCTGTGAGTAACTAGAAATTTGCATATACTTTGGTCGATCCAGGCTACGCAGACGGAATAGACCCACTGATACTCCGACACCTCGGATATTGCCTGCTGGAAAGAAACGCAGATATTCAACCCGCTGCCGGTGCCCCAGGTGATGGCAGCAACCAGGCTCCCAGGGAAGCTGGACTGAGCGAATGCGCCGTCATACCAACCCGAGTTAGCATGATGGATTTTCTCCAGCATACGATTGTAGAACCACTGTAGTAAACATGGATGCTCTCGTCTTTGGTAGTGGTAACGGCGAGAGCAGTCTGAGGGATGGCATTGGGGACTGAAAAGCTACCAAGTCTCTAGCCCGAATCGGAATTGTGGGCCATCTCAACCAGATTGTTCTAAGGGTCCTGGAAGTATACTCTGGGCGACTTTATCAGCGGTCATGCAAAAAGCATGCAGCTAGAACTGGATGACACCAATCTTATAGCCTGGTTAGGTTGCAGGAAGGATGTTACGGCTATGGCTGTTCCAGGGACTGCCGCGCCCAGGTTCTGGAAAGTTTGCCATTGTGAAAGTCCCGGCAGATTAAAAGCGACCGATTCAGGGATGTATTGGATGGTCTCCAGCTCCAACTGGATTGGATAGAAAGAGCACATGTTCCATAAAATAGCTTACTCAGATTGAGAATGTGAGACTCAAAGATAATAGACACATCAGTGCAATTTAGTGCATCACTCCAACTTGATTAAATAGGATCTGTCCTTCAGCTGCTGTAACATATGCGGAATCGTCCTTAATACTCCTACCATGCGTGGAACTGATCTTGGACTACCGACTGGAGCACTGATCCTGCCATTTAGGGTCCTTGCAGACTCTGCCATAACCTATGATGTAGTACATTTACCTAGCCTTGAATAAAGCGCTGCTTGAGAACCATTGGTGCAGGAGAACTCCTACAGTGCTGCCCTCTATTGTTACAAAAATGCCACAAACATCACCTACTTTCCTTTCTCTATTAAATATTCACTGAAAGAAGCAAGCATTGGCAATAACATTCTTAGTTGTATCATTCAAGCCCGTAGCTGCGCATAGAAGGCGGACGACCTCGCTATGTATACCACCCTATATGCCATATCCGCCGACAGACACCGTCGAGAGGAGCCCAGAAGCTTAATTCAGCTTTAACAATGACAGCTATGCGACGTTTGACAACCGCAGACAGCGTGTGTATGATAAGTATCCACTAAGTGCCCACTTACCTCTTTCCCCTCCGAGGAGATATTGAGTGCGGATGGATGGACAGGCTTCATGCCAAAGCATGGTTGACGTATGAACTAAGGAGATATGGAAGAAGCTTTTGGAAAAGCATACCTTAAGATTGTCACCTCACAGCTTGAGTTGCCGTTCCCAGCTCTGATGCTGGGACGTGCGTGCCGGTTTGGGAACATCGACGAGGTATACAAAGTATTTTACCCACTCCACAGAAAGACATGTCTCACATAGAGGACCCCTAGTGCAGCTTCACCCGACACTACCTTCAGGGAATGAGATCGGGACGGACGTGAGACCTGGTAGATGAACATAACCAGCATTCACTGGGATCCACAGTGGCAGGTGTCATCGACGCATTATGCTCGTGCTTTCCTAGCGCATAAACAGCATAAAAATCTTGTTAAATTGCCCGACAGGCTGTCATGTGCAGTGCGGAACTCGGCAGTTCTTCATATTACGCAAGGAGCTTCGGAGAACTCCACAGCAACCCTATTTGCAATATCCGCCAGTTCTAGGCTCATGCATGGAACGTGTATAGACGTTAGCAATTACTGGTATGAACTGCCTATGTTTCCTTCTAGTCTCGAAGGTTGAGCAAACCGAATATATCCGCCCAAGGAAAGTGTCTTAAGTAGGATGCTCTCTATCAGAAGACTCTTTCAGTTCAAAACTCTCTAGAGCTGACCTTCGTGCCCTACGACCTGCGCCGCGCGCCGTGCGCCTGATTTGGTTTGCGTCATGGAAAGCCATATGGAAAATGTAGCGGAGTATACTCAATTTCCCTGGTATCATGAACTGTCTCATAATCAACCTCTCAGCTATACCTAAGCTATAAAGACATTCAGGTTGGCGTGCTCTGATAGCTTCAACGCGGACAATTCAAGCGAACAGGACCTAATTTGGAGTAATCTTCTACGACCAAAACACAACAAAATGGCCAATTACATTGAAGGTAACTCAAATACTAAGGTACCTTCGATACGTTCAGACACTCACAATCATAAAACCCTCAGGAGCCATTGTGATACTCAACCAGCCAGCAAGTGGTGTCTTCTCTGCCACGTAGATAAGTGATGTAGAAGCCGTTGCGTCTTCCCTCCAAGTTGCACCATAATCTGAAGTTCGTGTCGCCTTTGCACTGGTCGGCTTTTTTGGTGTCGTCACAGTACAGTTACAGCCTTTGTTTTCTACTCTGCAGTAGCAAGTGTCTGACTTCTTCCCGCCAATTAGGTCTCTGGCTATGTTGACACTAGCACATACGAAGCCTCAGTAGATCCATGGGTCTGGTGAGGAAATTTAGTGACTGTAAAATAAAAGTGGATGTCAACGAGACAGTACACTTTTGGTGTCCTCAACTAGGATACTATAGTTTTGTTCAATCTGTCACTGCTGAAATGACAGGCACTGCGTACAGAGTAACATATTTGAATGATCCAGATCTAAAGGCCACATCTACTACACATAGGTGAATATGACTTGGGAGTATAGCACAACCTGTCCAGAATACTGGAATACTTCAGGAAATAGCGTCCCAGCCATAACCTCCGATACCCAGTAATTATGGATATTGACAATAGGAGCGGGAACCTTGGTTCAACTGGATCAGATGGCAAGGCTCATGATTGGTATATCGGCAACATGAGTGGGCGCTCACCCAATGAGTTCCTTGTACTAATCTTGCGCATTGCCATGAGCATGGGACTACACTCGGCAAAAGTGGATGACCCCCAGCTGGGAAAGGGAGAGCAACAGACACTTAGTATTCTCTGGACGTCGATCATATACCTCAACTTGCATCAGTCGGTCCTGACGGGAATGCCAATGTTGCTCCAACCACGAGATTATACTTGCGCACCCCCTCCCAGCATCAACGGCTGTTCTAACCAAGCTCTTGCACTATCGAATCCGGAGGGGACGGAGACCTTCCATGTCCTCTTCGAACGCGCCGTCCCACTCGCGTCTGAATTAATGGACCTTAGCCACGACCCGACTCGAGCAGAAACCTATGAGGCTATTATGCACTGCACTGCGGAGGCCAGACACTTACTTCTCCATGCATTAGAAGCACTACAAATATCCCACCCGACGACCGGCGAGGGCCGGAAAGCCATCATGCTCGACATTCTATTCCGCAGGCTCCTCCTGTCCGTTCACCGCCCCTTTGCCCACGATGAACGCGTTCCACTCCGCTATCCTCTCTCGTACTGGACATCCCTGGACTGCGCCCTCGCAATTCTTGTCCACCAACGGGACCTCTGGGAAGCTCACCCGGACGACTCCTTGGTGAGCCGATCTTTCGCCCGCCTCTTCTGGCCCGACTTCCTCGTTGCGGCCCTCACATTATCGCTGTACCTGCTTCGAGCAGACTCGCCGCTTGACCCGCCGCCGAGGAGCCGGTATGGTGGCATACCTGCGCGGGCCATGCTACAAGATGCGTTACGCTCGTGCAGGGATATCTGGCAATTAGAGAAAGACAGGAATGTCTGTCATTCGCACGCGTTCATATTGATTGATCGTGTTGTTTCGGCTTTGGAGGAATCAGGCTGTGATGGTGTTCCGGCTTTGCGCCGCGCTGATGTGGAGACTGCCCTTGATGCAATTGGCACTGGTCCACCGGGATGATATATCGGGTCAGAATTGAATTTGTCAAGTCACTGCTACATTTATGTCCAACGTTGGGCTAGTCAGAGCCTAAGCTCAAAATCATATGGCAGTTAGTTGGTTATCAAGACCGATTACCAACTCTAAGTCAGCTATCGTATGACATATGCCTCACAGAAGAAGACCTTGGTATATGTCTAGCCTTCCTAGCATTAGGGCTTGATTAACCTTGTAGACGGAACACGTAAATAGGCTCTTCCTTTAAGTAGAAAGATGTTTAGTGAGTCGCCATTAGCCACTGTAGAATAGGCGGAACGGGAAGGAATTATGTTACTCAGATAAATAAGCCCTTGCGATGCAGCTGACCACATATTTCTCTTCCTCAGAAACCCAGCCATTCAGAACTTGCATAGCCGTATTCGCCGGATTGCCCCTCGTTAGCCATCCACTGAGACCGTGAGCCAAGCATCGGCGAAATAAGAACTCTCCACTCCTATGGCTTTGCATTTTCTTGGCTCACATCGGCTGGCCCTCAGGTCACTCTCAGTACGGGTATCAGCTGCAGGAGGGTTGTATTGCAGCAGACGATGGCATGGTTCATGCAGCTGGCAAACATCAAAATCAACAGGTGTTGGTGGAACTTCGCGACTAGTGTCTTCAAACTGCGGGTTGTGAATAAGGCTGGCTGAGATGAGATTTTAGTCTTTCAAAGTCAGCCATAATCAGGAGAATGACATTTATACAGTCTCAGAAAGGCATAAATTTACCAATAGTACTCCCCAGCATTGGCGTTTCTCTCTTGCAATTTATACTTCAATTCTAGTCTACCAGACACAAAATGCTGTTTAGTGTAACCTTTCTCCTTGTTGGCCTAGCTCTCGGAAAACCAGGTATGTTCCTCCATCATTCATCACTGCAGTCATTAATGGACCTTGCAGTTATACCAAGAGATGATACAAGCCCGACGTCTACACCCACAGTTCCCACAACCAGCGCACCTCCATCCGATCAGACTGACGCATGCGCCACCTCGTCTGTGAGTAGCCAGTGGCTAAGCACATGTAACACCACAGTGTTCTGGCCAACCTCAACAGACTACTTCTACGGGCCAACCACCGGGCCTGGGGCATCTGCGGTCACTTGCAATGCTCAATGGGTAGAATACAATGGCCGAGCAGATGAGCTTGCCTCACTGGGCGCAACTTCCACCTCGACCTCGTACTGGATTTCTCCCACCAGCACTGGGGCCTGCAACACAGATGTCAGGCCAGAGGGTCCGGCAGATCCCCATACTGGTCCCGTTACCACGCTCTGTGATGGTATCACCCGTGCTCTTGGCCCTCTAGAGTACCTCACCGACTACTGGCCCGGCACAGGCCCTTGCAGCACATCAATGACGACCCAGTTTGATACCACTCTGCTCTACCGGTCACCCTTCCCTGTTCCCACTTGTGAGCTGAATACGCAGGATTGCGTTCCCATTTGGCAGACCTACAGCAGTCGTCTCGCCGCCTACCTTGAGTCGGTGACAACGGAAATCCCAGGCGACACGAACAGCCCTATCCGACCAACACAATGCCCTTCGACGACGAGAAACTACACGGAGCAGGACCCCTGCACCAACTGTCATTATCTCCCGGACACCGCAACCCTTTTCTACTGGCCGGTGACTACCACCGGCGGCGATCTCTGTCTCCAAAATGGGACCACCGTCCCTGCTACTCCCACCGGGAACGGCCCCAACACTGCAGTTGTGAACGGGCATACGTTCATCTCCCCAAGTATCTACGTATCCTTCACCAGCATCTACGCGCGGAGCAACCAGCGTGCGCATCCCGGTGGCTCTTGCGGAGGCGACTACGAGGACGTGATTATTTCCGTCAACCCGGAAGCCGTAACGTCCTACCGTAACCACATCAATGCGAAATATCCAAGAATCGGCACTGCCTACCCGTTCAACTTTGCCGAGTTCCAGCCGCACACCGTAGGCAATTACACCCTGCCACTGATCCCATGGGACCAGTACCGCGGTGGATCCCAATGTGTCATGGGCGGAAGTGGCTGCAGTATGATCCGCAACAATTACCTACCATGGATGGAGATCCCGGACGTGATGACCCAGATTGATCCCCGGTGGACGGAATGCCACCGATCGTGGTACATTCCGCCAGTCAGCCTGGTTCCGCTGATCGGTGGGCTTGCGTCACAACCTACCGGAGTGGCTGAGGCAAGTATTGCTCGAGCTGGAGCTGAGACTGCGCCTGCAGCACCTCAGCCGGGGCTGGCCGCTCCCACTCCAGAGGCTACTAGCAATGGCCGTGGCTGGTGACGAGTCATGCAAGGTGCACGCAGACTGCAGTAGGCTGTGGCTACGGCAAGGCTATAGTTAAATCTGTACAGAGGCCCCACAAGGTTCGGAAAAGTACTTAGATTAATTGACAGAACCTGCTTGAGTCCTATCTGATCCTTCTGCTCGTACTCTGCTTTTAGTGGTGATTACCCTTCCCTCCGAGGTCAGGAATCGGAATAATCATTGTTCTGCTGCCAATGGCGATGACAAGAGACAATGCTATATAATACAATACCACTAGGCCAAAAAGGCGTCCGGACAGTATCCTCTTCAGTTCACGGCCTTACAGCCATCATATAGACGCCTGAAGTGTAGGATATGCGCTATTGTTATGCTTCCAATCCCAGTGCACAAAAGGAAGGCGAATGACGGAGGGAGGAGGTCTTTCTGCAGGTTGGATATCGGTTGTGTCATGTACAGGCTTTCTTACTTTCTCTTCCATATTGTGAGGATGAAATAAAGGAACAGCTACGAGTATATAGTATTTTGGATCTCTCTTGACAGGCATGTTAGCTATACACTGGAAGAACTCGGCTTAATCGTATGGTGATCCAGGTACATAATGGCAGACACAAGCACATAGGAGATTGACCATGGACCTGGGCATGAAGTAAACGACCAACCAAGATCTTGGTCTCTGTTTCACCAAAGTCAGCACAGCAACTTTGTTATTTTCCACAACCTAACATTATAATGAGCCACTTCAGGTGAAGCGTCGGTCGGTCCGGTGAAGCCTCATTTTTCCTGATAAAGGGCCCTGAACTCATCATGGATGCTCATTCTTGAAATCCTCAACCGACCTCTTGGGCTTCCAGCAAACAGTTCGCGAGCACGGTCCGACTTGGTTCGAGCACTTCACATACATGTTAGCATGTATTGTCGAGGTAAAAGCAAAGAGTATCTCACTTGGATGGAAACACCAACTCTACCACCGCCTCGTTGAACCCAGTCGCCTCTGCCCCCTCTTGCAACGACAGACTTCTCATCTCATCCGTCTCAAATACCCCAAGAGAAAACAGTCACGAACGAACAGGCAATCTCTTCATAATGGCGCCTTTCAGCGCATCAACATCGTCTACCATTTCAACTCCATATCTCGCACACAATCTGCACATTCCCCCTCTTCCAATATCCCTCGGGACAGACTACGATAGCCTTTCCCGGAACCCGCGCACAGATTCCCAGCTCCAGCAAACTAACCGGCGCCTGGGTAGCTGGGTGGAAGTAAATAACAACAATGTCGGCCTTGTCCTGTTTCTCGAGCTCCCACTGGACCTGCTCGCGGAAAGGGATAAAATTGATGTCCTCAGTCCAGGAGCTGTCCCAATCAGGGCGGTAAGGGTTGTATATCGTGACTGGCAGCTCGGAGAGGGAAGCGGAGAGGGTCTCGCGCCAGTCGCTCAAGTCGACTTTGTTGGTGGTGCCGGCCAGGAAGATGGACTTTAAGCCGCGACGAGCTTCCTCTGAAGGCGCGTAGATGACTTGGCTTTTTGTTTGAGCCATTCAAATAGATGAAAGGTTGCTGATCCTCAGATCCACCAATTTCTAAAAGCAAATCTGACTGGATACCTTCGCCTTCCTAATTATTGGAGTATTGAACATTGGTACCAGAGGAGAACAGTTTATTGTGGGGAAGTTCTGGCGGTGGTGCGGGGTAGAGGAAATGTGCACGGACAGGGACTTGCAGGGCAAGTCTCTCCGTCTCCCCACTTGCTTCCTTCACCAGGCATTAGAAAGAGCAAGGCCATGGCAACCTCGAAGAAAAGACGTCGACTAATTGCTGGCTGGTGCGTTCATTGAAGCCTTTTTGCTTGTGCGGTGACGCTGACTCGCTGACCACTCCTTTCAGTCACAGATGTAGAGGTGAGTGTTCATTGCTCATGCAAACCAATGAGATAGTAAACTAGCTTGGATGTTGTATATTCGACGTGCTGACTGGATCTCGGCAGCTCGCCATCTAAGATGTACGTACGCCTGGTATTTGGAGAAGGACTGGACTCATATATCTAGCTTAATAGGCGACTCGAAAACACCAGCCTGCGACAACTGCAGATATGCCGGTGAAGCTTGCGAGAGATTTCTCAACATTCGCTTTCGAAATGGGCTAGACTTTGTTAAGGATCAAGATGTGACGTTCCTTGAAAAGGCTGCTTGGCCATCTTTGACGGGGCCCAGTACGTCAATCTCATTGTTCTTTGGTTCTATTTCTGACTTAGATGTTCAAAGTCCGATTCTACGATGAGACACGTGAGATTGAGAGTCTTTATGTAGAAAGCAATCCTTCACCACCTTCTCAAGCGAGCCAGGGTATAGGCTACTTGAACGGCACCCACTGCAGTCCAGCAGTGTCAGACGCCCACTGCCGAGGATATCAGATATTTCTCGACGAGGAGGCATCCGTGACACAACAGAGTTCTACTCCTGCTAACAGACTAACCTATGGTGCGTTTCATTGCGTCTGACGGATCTGCTCCAATAGTCCATAGTGCTCACTGTGACTAAAGCAGCTCTGAATATAGAAAGTCCCATCACTCATCACGGATCTCCGGAAGCCGAATGTACAACAGAACTGCGTCGCAACTCGGCTAGTTTGAGTGGTTTTGCGAGCTCACAAATGCATAGCTCTCTCAGTGCAAGGGAAGCTGTCCTCTTTCGCAATTTCGTTGATAATATGGCCATGTGGGTCAGTCTTCCTAGTGATATTTCGGTTCCTTCTTTCTGATCCCTTTATTTTATGAGAAATGCTGACATACTTATAGACCGACATTACGGACCCTCAGAGACACTTTGAAATGGTGGCTCCGGCGCGAGCTCTCCACGAGCCAGTATTGCGCGCGGCAATCCTCGCCTTTTCGGCCCGGCATATCAACAGACAAAGGCCGGACGGCGACACAGAGTCATTGAAGTATCATAACCAATGTCTTGAGCTTCTCATTCCAACCCTGTCGTGCAATGACAATGAGATTACTGAGGAATTACTAGCCGCCATTGCTATTCTTCGTCAAAATGAAGAAATGGATCGTAAGTTTTTTATCCAGATAATGAGGTACTTCACCCGCTTATAGCACTAGCTCAGGACAACCAGTTCCATTTAACGGGAACAATACGTATATTAAATACGATGTCCTCTTTTGGATCCTCCGGAGGATTAGGTGAAGCAGCTGCCTGGTTGTGTCTTCGCGAGGACATGTACATATCACTCACGTCTCAATCGCCATTGCGGACAAACCTGCAGAGCTTCAAGCGCTCGGATGTTTTCAGCAGAACTGACGACTTTGCTTGGTCCAACCGGATGGTCTTTTTGTTGGCCAGAATCCTGAGCTGCGCTTTCAACGAGGAGAGCCGGACGAGACGTTCCTACGCTTCACTTAAGCATCTAGGGACAGAAGTCGACGATTGGAATGCTTCCAAACCGCAGACGTTTCAACCTGTTCATTTTGTTCCGCGAGGGAAGGATTCTGGTCGACGATTCCCAACTATCTGGACACTGTTGCCAGTTCATGGTATGTACGCGCCCTGGTTTCTCCGCATACTCGCTGACCCAACGCAGTTGTCGGTTTACAATACTACCACATCGCAAAGATTATACTTACTTTGTCTGGTTCTTTAAGTCCGTTTCTCCCGTACGAGAACTTGCAACGCTCGCGGGAGGTTGAAGTATGTCGACGTGGATCATTGTCGTGGAAGCAAGGACTAACTCAAGTTAGAAACTTGTCCGAGGCCATCTTCTCAATGTGCTAGGACTTGCTGCGTCAAACCCTAGAGCTGAAAATACCCTTTTCACTGCACGGCATAGTTTGGTGGCTTGTGAGTTATGCTTGCCATGTTTCTTTCTTGCAATTAATCATGCTAAACTGACCTTCTCAGGGGGGTGGATACTACGGCATAAACTAGATCAAGAAGCTGCTGAAGAGCTACTGCAATATATGGAGATCAAGACTGGCTGGAACACGTCCCACTTGATAGACTCTCTGAGACAGCAATGGAAGAATGAACTTGTCGATGACTAAAAATTACTCTCCCACCTTGTCTTGACCGGCGTATTGAAGTAATGTTAGTAGTCTGTATGCATCTGATCTTCTCGTGTCATAAGCTCCAGGAGTCCTTTATAAGTGTGGAGCGTGTATCTGCACAGTCATCTTGAATATGCTAAATGCAGGCCATACTGAAGGCAATATCTTGTGTATTTTCTTTATCATCAAATTGGCTTATAAGGCACCTGTGATGGGTCTCATAATATGCTCTCCTCGCGCATAGTATAGATCAAAGGGTCATACTTATTGATGATCATGCTTCTTCGGGACGATCCTGGTAAAGCCAGAGAGGTCTACGACTGGGCCAACGCAGAGTTCTTGGAATTGTCTCCACAAAGCGAGAGTTGACTTGTGGAATATGCAAATATGCTGTGGGCAGTTCTTGTATGTAATATATATGCGCCCGTGTTCTGAAGATGGCACTGAAACCAAATTCACTTCTAATTATAAGCAGTTAAAGCAGGTTTTATTTGCAGAGCCATACAGCGATCGCTTGGTGGTATATCGGTAGAACTCTTCTTCGCTGGTTTCAACCAATGTGAAATACGGTGATAAACAGCACGTCCAATAGCGGAGCTCCCAGCAAAGCTTCTCACGGTACCATCGTTCTTCTGTCGGGACGGCAAAGTAGGGAGCGTCACTTCATGGCAGTCCCAGGAAGAATTCGTTTGTCCGCTAAATTGACGGCAGGAAAGTCCAAAAGTGTATTTACTGCAGACGGTGAATGAATATTTATCATCGAATTCTCATAATGACTCCTGTGGAAGATGCTGAGCAAGAGGTTTGTTTGCTGCAGCTAGTCCACGGGGTCTTGTTATCGAATCAATAACCCACGAGCAGGCAAATAACGCTCCAATCACCGAGGTCGACCATCAGCGCCACAACTATTTGCGCCACTTGTTCAGCTAGAACGACTCAGTCGCCGTCTCATATTTTCGCTCCGAGGGAATGAAACGGCTGACGGGAAGGGGAAGGGGCCGTGGCGGGATCAGCCGGCGGTCAAAGTCCCACTCAGATTCTCTTAATGGAGAGACCACTGAAGACCAGTTGGCATGCTGGTAAAAAGGTTACTCAGAAAAAGACGCGTTGACATGCTAAGCCACCAAGGCAAACATGGAAGAACAGGACTCCATGGAAAAATCAGCCTATGAGTAGGTGATACAGTCAGTCAACATTGGGCTTCTATACCTTATCGGACTATCAGTCCAACATCTGCGTTGGGTATAGAAGTGGACATGATGATGGCAGGGAAAACCATGTTTCGCGCACTCATGCAGTGCTTGATTGCGTAAGCCAATCCTCACAGCATGAGTGAGACCTTAGTAGCATAGTGTGCTATTGGACATCCAGATTCCGGACGACCAATCCGTAGTGTCCAATCACTACGTATCGAATGTGGAGACGCCAAAATACGCTTATCCGGTGGTACAACCGCACAAAGGATCGACATTGGCTTGGGACTGTGAAACACAACTGCTCTACAATCAGATCTGATCTGTGTGAGTGGAAATCGATATGCATGCATGACAGTCCGATAAGCGATCGCTCTTAACCACGTGTAGCCATCGGACTTGTTAAGCTTTGCCATGATCTCACTTTATACTCACATGTGCCGTTTTGTCCGACAACGGCCGAGGAAATGGTACCCTGTCTTTCCGGAATAGACTAGTGGCCACCTAATTTCACCCTCGAATGCAAGCAGATTGCAACTGTTGGTGGCACCTGACTCTTATGTCCTTTATGAGGTTGCGCTCAGGGACCGACGATCTTGGCAGCAGCCAATGGGATCAACTGTGAATGATATTGCTCGTTCAGGATGGATTTCTGCATTTCCTCCAGTCGAACTTGACACCTCTTCTTCTCTCTCATTTGCAACTGGGATCAAGTCTGAGCCTCCCGACCAGTCATGGCTCCTTCTTTCCTGAGAAAATTGCGTCGTCGCCGCCGTCGCGATGACAACAACATCGTCGGGCCTTCTCCGCATCCGGAAGTCCCAAAAATGCGGGGATCAATACCAGCGCTGCCAATGTCGTCCACACACAACAACAAGCCCGAAAACATCTGGCATGCAGACGCTGAAAAGGCAGAGGAGTACGATGCACCCTGCGGAATTCATGCTCAACCTGCCAACGCATCCAAGACCGACACCGACCAATCCCCACGAGACGTTCAAGCCTTTATAGAGCCCGGCGTTGACCCCTCAGACCAAGAACCCGCCTTCACCTGGCAGGACATTGAGCCACGGGCGGATCCCAACCCACCACCAATCTTAGAATATTTCAACTACGAACTATCACCTACAGAGAAGGACAACCTGCTCCACATGGAGACACGACGGCAGACCTCCGAGGTCAGGAACCCGCTTCCACCATCTAGACGGGCGCGGAGCGAAGGAACAATAGCTCACTTCTCTACTGCGCACGAAGAACGAGAAAGACAATCTGCTCTGGAGCGTGCAGTTCAAGCGAGACTGCTCGGGATATCCACTACTTTACCCTCCTACGACCAAGTGAGCGGCGCCGTGATCGTGAACCACGAAGGCCTCCCGCACTTTCTATCGCCGGAAGAGGAGGAGGAACGACAGGTCTCGTTAAAGCGCGCAGTCGAGGAGAGGATGCTGGGGCTTCCGCGCCGGACGAGCTTTACCTGGGCACAATCACATGGCCCTTCGTTACCGTCTTATTCGCCAGCGAGTTACAAATGAGCGACCTTGGCTATATCTCAAAAGCAATATGACCAAATTCGGCTTCGGAGTTGAGGACTTGGGCATTATTATGTTGACCTCTTTATTTTGCATTGTACAGCACATACTAGCGCCTGCATTCTTGTACATATCCCCGTTTGAATTGTGCTCGGTTCAGAGCATTGACGCGTTCGCTTACGAGCCTCTGGGCAAGTCGGTTGCACCTTCACATGGGAATTCGAGTTAATATTTACTCTTAACATGCATTTTTAACAGGATGCTATGACGGGATGACAATTGCTGGCTTGCAAAGCGCTTGCCGGTCCCTGTAGTGAATGGAAAATATTGACACAACGCCGATATATGTATAAACAATGTCGAACCGCTATATGCAATTTTTGATTGCCCTAGGTATATCCACGAGGCTTCACCAAAAAACCTCCTAGCTGCGGAACAACCGCAATCCAACCTCCTCGCGGTCTTCATCACTTTCCTCCGCAGCACTGGCATCCTCATCATCTCCCTCCCGCAATAACCCACTCGCCGTCTTCCCAAGCAAGGAGGCAAAGAACTCCTCGCGAGCGGTATTGGTCCACGTGCCGCGGTCCTCAGGCGCCATGAAGTTCTGCAGCTTCTCGTGGACATCGAACCGCATCTTGCGGCCCTTGGAGGCCCGGGTGTCGATGTCCCGTTTGACCTTGTCCTTGCGCATGCCGGTAATAGGGTGGATACCTTGCCGGGAAGGCAGCTGGAGATGTAGGGTGTCAAGACCGTTCGTAATGGCGTCGGAAGATGACATTCGCTGCTCGACGAGGTCTCGGAGCAGGGACTGGTAGAAGACGGTGTCATCGTAGACCGGTTCAGGATCCTCATCGGAGGAATTTCTCCGGCGCTTGGCGGCGCGGTCGCCAGTCTCTGAAGCGACCTGCGCGTCGATGACGGCGGTGATGGTCTGTTGACTACTGGCGCTAGCGCCGAGGAGCTTTCCCCGGGCGTTGGGGAGTGCGGCAGTGGACCCGCGGACCTTGAGGGACCACTTGTCGAGCACGGCGCGGCGGTGGGCGACGGCGTCGGACTCGAGCTCAGTCATGCGCTTCCAGAGGGAATCGGTAGATGTCGCGACGGATACTGCGGAAGGTCGCTTGCGTTTCTTGGACTCGTCCTGGGTTTGGGCGTCGGCTAGAGCGAGGCGCAGGTCTTCGAGGGTGGACCAAAGCGCGAGCGCGGCGGATTCGGCGGACTTGATGGCTTCGCCGTCGATGTTGGGCTTTTCGTCGCTCGCCTTTGCGGTGATGGACAGCTGGTTAATCGCTGTCATGCCCTTTTGAAGTTTGATCCGTGCGTTGAGCAAGGCGTCGAAAGTCGCGCGCTGCTGCTTGACCGCCCGGCCTTTGGCAGCGTCTGCTTTGGCGGCTTGGGAAATCGTGGCTGCGATTGTTTTTTGGTCGGAGGACATCAGTCGGCGCAGTTCCTCGCGGTCATCGGATTTGGATGTTTTCTCGAACCGCACTCTTCGGTTGTCGGATTCGTCCTCGTCTTCATCCCCTTCATCCTCTTCATCGTCATCATCAGAGGGAAATTCTCCGTCCATATCATCCTCGTCGAATCCATCTTCCGAATCGTCCTCGCTCCCTGCAATCTCCTCTGACCCGTCAGTATCCATGCCCTCGCCATCCTCTTCGTCCGACGAAAACTCCAACTCCTTCATCTGCCGCTTGCCATCCTTTCCGGAGCTCCTAGACTTCCGTGGTCGCTCTTCTTCGCTTTCCTCAGATGCATCTTCGACCTCGTCGCTTCCTGGCTCGGAGTCCTCGTCGTCGTCGTCCTCACTACCATCCTCCTCGTCGCTTGAGCGTGATTTGAAAGGATCATCATCGCTCTCGGCTTCAAGCGCGTCCCGGCTGATTTTCGAGCCGGCATATTGTTTTCCGAGGTTAATTGGGTCCTGCTTGCGAAGCCTCGCCTTTCTGGTCGAAGTTAACATCTTGAAGACAATGATTGCGCGCGGGTCTGGAAAAGTTCGAACTCACCCTACAGCTTGATAATGTTCTCGTCCAGCATTAGGGTCAGCAGCTTCGGCACCTTCATCGTCACTGTCTGGCCCAGCGCGATCCAAGTCTTCGGGATCGAAATCTGATCGCAGCGTTAGCCTTCATTTAAACAAGACAACCAATTTGTAAAGAACCAACCTTTAGGTGTAGGGTCTTCCAGCTCTGCGAGCTGTTCTGCAAGTGATTTTGGCGCCATTTTTGCGCCTTGGACAAGTTGAAGGTACGGAGGTTGTCGTCAATAAGTTTTGGCCGCGATAATTTTTTATTTTTTCTGCCCGTGATATTTTTTGAGAGGGCGGAATGCGGTATCGGACAAACTTTCCAATTGAGGGTTGGAGCTGGTCCGACTGGGAAGGTTGCTCCAGGCGGTGTACTTTTCTCTGGCAGTAAATGATGTCGACCTGTGCTCCTCTCTGCAACACTGTATCTGCCATCGACAGCAAGCATGTTACAAAAGAGACTATTTTCGGCTCTCCGAGTTCTTCACCATGAAAATCCTTTGGTAAACAACCCCCCTTAAAAGGCTTGACTTATTGTGGATATTAATGCTAGCAGGGTCTTCCGCGATCTGGCACACCACCGTCTTTCCCGCGCCGCCGGGGGTTACCAGAAAAGCGCAAGATCCGTGATGTCAAAAAAGTGATTGCGGTATCATCAGCCAAGGGTGGTGTGGGCAAATCTACCATTGCAGGTATGAAACTTTGTCTTATATACCATCTTGATAGCTTCATATCAGCAGTTGATGAACCTCCACGCACGTATTTCAGTAGATCTCTGACGTTTCTCCGCCAGTGAATCTCGCTTTGTCTTTAGCTCGCCATGGGATTCGCACGGGTATCCTGGATACCGATATCTTCGGACCATCAATTCCAACTCTTCTCAACTTGTCCGGTGAACCCCGCTTAGACGAAAGTGAGACAGTAATCATTTGAGGCACATGCCTTTAGTCCGCAAGAGCTAATGGGTGGACTAGACAACTGCCTCGTTCCTCTGACTAACTATGGCTTGAAATCAATGTCAATGGGCTACCTCCTTCCGCAGCCGAAACCGGACCCATCGCAATCTGCGGGCAACATCCCCATGGACACCACTCCTATCTCATGGCGTGGTCTGATGGTCACCAAGGCCATGCACCAACTTCTCCATTCGGTCTCCTGGGGCCCTCTAGATGTGCTGGTCCTGGACTTGCCTCCCGGCACCGGCGACGTACAATTAACGATCGGACAAGAGCTCATTGTAGATGGCGCCTTGATTGTAACTACGCCACAGGATATCGCTCTGCGCGACGCCGTCCGCGGCTTTGGGATGTTCGAGAAAATGAATATTCCCGTCCTCGGGATGGTTCGCAACATGGCCTACTTTGCGTGCCCGCAATGCGGTCATCAAACGAAGATCTTTTCGCATGGTGAAAGTCATGGCCATGGCTCGGAGGACTCGGGCGTGGTTGCCGAGTGCAAGCGCCTAGGCGTGGAATTCCTTGGTGATATCCCTCTCGACGCTAAGGTCTGCGAGGACGCTGACCGCGGAGTGCCTACGGTTGTATCAGAAGAGAGTGACGACCGCAGCGTAAGGCGCAAGGCTTTTCTAGATGTTGCCGAAAAGGTTGCCCGGAAGATCGGTCTGGAGTGGAGTTGATGGTAACTACCATGTTATTTGTATAATACATATACCCGAATGTCTTCTTCCTATGACATTTACCGATAACTGTTTCTTCATAGTGCTAGTAATTAAACGTCAAACGCCTCGCGGGCTCTTCGTCGTTTCAGGGTCGAAAATATATTGATTTCTGAAGAGCACACTCGAAAGTATTTTACTAAGATTGCTTCAATTAATCTTCAGCAAGCGGAGCCCTACAAGTTCCTTAGTCTAATCACTTACGCGTAACTCTTTCCTCGTCCCATGCCGTCCGGTAAACCTTCCAGTGCTCATCGCCATGCGCCCTATCCTGCTCTACAGACACCCCTATGTGGCTAACCCTGGAAGGTTGCAGCCACTCGAAGACTGGACTTTCCGTGAAAACTGCCAATCGACGCCAAAAGAAGACTTTCATGAGGCCAGGCCGGTCCTGCCGCTGAGGATCCTACAAGGGTATCATCCTCTTCGAGCGGGGTGCAGTGCCTGAGCCACCAGCTGCGCGCAAACAGAGAAGGAAAAACAGCGGCCATGAGAACTGAAGTTGTTATTAACAGGATTGAAAAATACAATAGATGTATATGTCAGTGCTCACTCCTCCAGGCACCAATTCCCTTGTAGCCTTCCTGCCTAAGCTGACGCCTCAATATTCTCCACTTAAGGTACTAAGAAGTTACATCTTCACATACAGGCAATTATCGTCTTAGAGGGAAGGGAATCATCTAAAATTCATGGTGTGTCTGTTGTACTCCTCATCCCTCTTTCATACTCAGAGTGATCAAGACGATATGCCACAAGACCTAGGAGCAAATTTTACATGGGTGATTGATGATCTTTGACAGGCAAGTCCCATAAACCTATAGAGCATTTCTGCTCATCCACTGCCTAGAATCAGAGAGATCTGCTTGATGAAATAGCAATTCTTTCGGAGGGGAACAGCAAACTGACTTTGTTTGAATTCTCCCTGCGTATGGTAATTTTTACTTTCTACCCTGACTCCATGACTACTGTCTGTTCGAGACTGTGGCTTGTGCTCAATCACACTGCAGCATTCAGATTGTCAATTATTTGTCATTATGGCCAAACAAATGCCTCAGGGTACCAACATCTGCCATCCTCATGATATAAATTTAAGACGTGACAAGTATTGCATCACACGAGAGAGTAGATTATCCCTATTGTCTGTGCACACTTTCTGCTGCTCTGGTGTTAGGAGGCGGGTGTCCTTCGTGACTTTGAGCTGTAGTGCTGAAGAGAGATCACTATACTTAGTTCACCGTCAGATATAGCATGTCTACAATAAAGATTCACATAGATAATTTTCCTAAGACACGATGTATGTAAGGTCTCTATAATCGGATCTGAAGCAGGCGAATCCCTTGTTTCATTGAGTTTGACCTCTTTGGACAAAACAAGGCCGAGAAGCTGAAGAAACCAGGTGGCAACACCTTTCACTCAGGCAGTTGCATTGAAGTAATGTGGCTTACGCTCAAGAAGCAAAACTGCAGGTGGCATTGGGGTCCTGTTCTATTTGGTTGTTGATTGGATGCTACACTATCCCACATATGCTAAGGCTCATCACTGTAGCTCCACGAAGGTGAGGCCAAGCTATACCCAGGCTTGACGCCTGGGAAATGACGACAATTTTGCCTTCAAGCGTAACAAGGGCAGAAAGAGCTGCTCAGCTGGACAGTGTCTGAAGCCTTGGAGATTGATATTCAAACTATTAGGTCATTATTCTATTTGATTGTTCGTTCCTTGTACTGCTGCATCACCTTTGGCGCTACTGTATGTGGTACTGACCCATCACATCCCCACATACTAGTATTTACACTGACCAGAATCCATTCTTTTGCTTGAAATGTAAAGTTGCAGATGTTTTCACAGGTCAAATAGTTGCTTCATCCATGTTGTTTATCGTACCTAGGATTATGGCCATTTCTTAGGATCAGGTTAATGCTGACCATGTTGGTTCCTCGTTTGACTAGCAGTAAATTTAACAATATCGTAGCTCTCTTTGGGGGACGGCAGATCATCAATACGAAAGTCTAAAAGGTGGGGAAGGAACAATCCATACTGATTGGCTACTCTGATGAGAGCTATCAGAAACATTAATCAAATTTGGCAGGACGATCTTGGGCAAACCGTCTAGGCCATGCAGATATTACGGCTCCAGTTATGGACTGCAGAGTCAGATGTCTAGGCACGAGTGTGGATAGCCACGCACTCCAAGTCATTCTGCAGTCAGGATGATAGATCACTCTTCAGACTTCAACAAACGAAGCCCTTTCTTTTCCTTGCCATGTCTACCCATTCAGCCAGCCACAATCTCTCGTTTACGTCCAAAGTGGCTATGGATGATCTACAATAGAGCACCGTGTATACTGCACATCACGGTCGTATCAGCTGTCAGAATTGGGGATGGCCCAAGGTGCGTTGCTCAACAGTGTACATGGATATGATGTGAGGTCATCTGTAATCCCCTACTTTTCGCAGCCACCAGGTGTGTATCTTCCAGGTCCAATCTCCCAAGTGGCCAGTTTAGTACTACTTGGAGTCAACTGACTTGATGATCAACTGCCTAAAAGAATAGAGCGACAACTTTCTTGTGTCTCATAGTTGAGGTCACTGTAATTCCAGGTTAGTATCCATATTCTTGATGTTGCAGTGCATCACCAAGAGATGAGACAACACAATGCGTGCCCCATGGTGATTGGTAAGAGAGATGCATGTCTATCAACAATTCCTAATTTTTAAAGAAAGAGAGAGCTTCCCAGCTTATACAAAGACCTGCTGGGTGATTGCATCATTTGGTTGTGTAGATGCTGGAAGCCTATAAATACACCCATCTCCCTCGATTCACTTCTCATTCGAACACCAATTCTCACTTTTTTATCAGAGAAGGCATATCTCTCAACTCATTATCTTCAGAACTACCCCTCTTGTTTACCTCTCTCCACAATGAAGACCCCCGTTATCTTGGCCCTATCCCTGACATTCGGGCTTGCGTACAGCCAAATTGGCCAGCAGCACTACGACCGAATCTGTACCTTCCCTTCCGAGGAAGAAGTTGAAGTGGAGCCGAAGCTGTTTGTCACCTACCACTGTGGCAAGTACGCTCCTCCGAACAACCAGTACCAGGCATATGCCGCAAGTAGCCCTGAGGACTGTGTCAAGGCCTGTGCCAATAAGGGGAGTGGGTGTCTCGGCAGTGCCTGGACTAGTCTACCCAGTGCCACAAGCGCCTGTCTCCACGCGAAGCACTCTTCCCTTCCCGCGCTCGTCAATAAAAACAGCGTTGTGTTCATGACTTATCGGAAAGAAGAAGATGACGATGAGGATCCCTTCGGTGAAAGCACCCTGGAGCAGTTGCAGAAGTGCAAGGACGATCTGGCCGCCTGCAAGGAAAACGAGGAGAAATTGGCAGAGTGCGAAAGCAATGTTGCCGCTGGCCCTCGAGTGCCTCCCTACAAGGATTGCCCAGCTGGGTCTGACGAGATTATCATCATCGGAAACAGACGCTTCAAGCAGAAATGCGACATGTCGATGGCCAAAGCCGCGGCGGACATCTACCGGACCATCCGACCTGGACTTACTCACGAAGAGTGCGCTCTTATATGTGCTCTCGACCAGAAATGTCAGAGCGCTATGTCCGTCAGGACTACCAGCACAGCCGGCGAATGCCAGCTCTCCAGCCGGAATATCGAATCGTCACTGGTCAATTGGGCCACAAACCGGGCTTATATTCCAGTGTGAGCCCCAAGCACTTGATGCAGAAGGAAACTGCTTTGCGAGCCACCCCCGGCCTGGGGTCGGAGCATCAGGGAAATTGGCAAACAGTTCCTTCATAAGCACGAATCTTCGCTTGATTGCAGGGGCCAGCTTACTTACCGAGACAATTTTGTTTGCCGAGTGCAATCTTCAGTTAAACCTATCAGAGTTTGGCTGCGATCCTGTTTTTGTCAGTTTTCACTTGCTTTTTTCACTGAAGTGTATATGTTGAGAATCCGGCAGGGTTTCATAACCTGTCTGTCATTCATTCGAATATGCCTTTACCTGACAGATCACATGCCAATCAACCATGTGGTCCAAAATAATCAAGCATGCTACCCTCTGGAAGTAGAAAAGACCTTCAGCCACCACATGCCCATGACAGTAGCCACAAAGAGTAAGGCAGAGCCGTATGCCTAGTTCAACAGGGGTATTTCAGACTGGTGCATTAGTGTGGAGGGAGAAGAAACTATCCACAAGCCACAATACCCAGCCATAAAGTCGCAAAGTCCTGGGTTTTCTGCCCTGATTTGTCCAAGGTCAAGACAGTTATCCATATCTCAGCACACGCTTCCGAGAATTAAGAAAAAGAACGTTCATATGGCCTCAAGTGCCCTGAAGTTCCTTGTTTGCACTAGTGCAACTAGCCGGAGAATTGAGTCGCTAGGTAACTTAACGTGATCGACAACCGAACGAGCCACCGAAGCGAGTTCCCCTCAACCGGACCAGAGCAGTTCTGCCGTTATGGATCCAATTGAAAATGGATGCGCAACATCCTGGGAGATGCTCAATGAAAGTCACTGGAGCCATTGGCGGCGGAACTGATCGGTAGCTTGATGAGATGTTGTGCGAAGGGCGCGCCTCGTATTTGCGCGGTCAAGCTGGTCAGTCAATTTGATCCTCGCTCTCGACGCCCGTGAATAACCGTCGCACTAAGTTGTTTAAAAACTGACAATTCGCGATGCCAACGTATGCTTTATGCTTGGCAATAGAGCCATTGGCGGTGGAACTGGTAGGTAGCTTAATGAGATGTTATGCGAAGGGCGCGCGCCCCGTATTTGCACGATCAAGCTAGCCAGTCAATTTTGATCCTCACTCTTCACTAAGTAGCTTATAAACTAGCTATCCGCGATGTCAACGTATGCTTTACGCTTGGCAATAGCTTATGAGCGAGACTTGTCCTCCACAATGGCAAAGGATCCAGGACCTTTTCGAACCGCACCCGGTTGGCAATAGCAGAATGGCAGCGCAACAAACCTCGGATATCGTCATCATCGGCGGCGGCATTGTTGGAGCTGCTCTGGCTTACTTCCTGACTTTATCCGACGACGGAAAGAAAGTGACCGTCATCGACCGTGCCTTTGGACAGCTGAAAGGCTCAACCGCCTACGCCCCGGGATTCGTCGGCCAGTTCAACGAATCCGAGGTTCTGACACGTCTTGCAATTGAAAGTGTTAAGGAGTACTTAGAGATACCTGGTGGGCTTGATCTTGTCGGAGGGCTTGAAGTTGCTACCAGCAACACTGGACTTGAGAAGCTCAATTGGAGGCTTACAACAGCAAAAGAAAGGGGTCTTGAAGCAGTCCTCATATCGGCTCAGCAGGCGGCAGAATTAGCGCCAGACTTGGTCAAGCCGGATAATGTTGCTGCGCTGCATTTCCCTAGAGACGGAATCGCCAACCCCACAGTCATTGCTGCCTTCTTCCAATCCAAGGCTCGTGCAAGAGGTGCAAAGCTTCTCGAAGCCGACGTTAACCAGGTTCACCGAGCTGATGGCCGGGTGACCGGGGTGACAACATCCGCAGGGTGTATCGAAGCTCAAACGGTTATCCTCGCTACCGGAATCTGGGCCCAAAACCTCGCCGATTTCGGTATTCCGGTCCCAGTTATCCCTGTCGCCCATCCATACATGTACGGAAAGAAGCACAAGCCCAAGTCCCATAAGTCACCGTTCGTCAGGTACCCCGAGCATCACGTATACGCACGGGACCATGGCCCATTCTTCGGTCTCGGGTCATATGATCATAAGCCCTTGGCCGAGCAACCAAAAGGAGCTGCTCTTGGAAAATGGGTGGAGGAATTTGACACCACTCTGGACCGTGCACTAAAGTTGATTCCTGAAGAGACAAACCTGGTCGCGAACGAAAAGTTCAACGGGATCTTCTCAATGACCCCGGACAATATGCCGTTGGTAGGCGAGATCCCGGCAGCGAAGGGCTTGTATATGGCAGCAGCAGTCTGGGTCACCCACGCAGCTGGATCCGCCAAGTTTTTGACTCAATTGTTGAGAGGAGAAACCGTCGACGCGGCGGTGAAAAAAGCTCTCGACCCGACTCGATTCCAAGGGCGTGATTTGGAGAGTCTGGAGCAAGAGTCCCTCCACTGCTATAACAGCATTTATTCGACACGTGAGAGCTCATGATGTGCTGCACAAAAGCGGATTATATGAGAATAGAACAAGTACTCATTCGAAAGATAGCATTTCATATCAAGGAATATGACATCATTGAAACGATGGGCTCATTTTATAAGGCAGATTTCGAGCAATGATTTTTACAGAGTATAGGCTAAGAGGAAGACTCGTGATATTCTTGAGGTCATACTCCAGAATCATGTCCTCGACTCTTGAGCTGGCGGGCTCTTTGTAGTGGGGGGTCTTCATATCTAGCAATATCAATGCCACAAACACTGGGTGCCGGCGTCGTTAAGAGGTCCTCATCCTTAGAGAACGTCGAGAACCCACCTATCTTGCTCAAATCTTGCATGGGAAATTTTTGTTGACCAATAACCCATGCCCTGTTATATGCTAACTATCGGATGTGAACACTGAATATACGGTGGTCGCGGTGAGTGCATTTCTGAGCAGGTCCAAAGTATCAGGAAGAAGCCTCGTGCGATATTTCAAGGACCATGGCTAGATCCGTTGTGTCTATGCTTGGTCCAATTCAAATGGGAATTTGTTGAATCTATTGTGAAGTTCTCTAGGATCAGAACACAGTCGACCAGTCAGACATTCAATATACAAACTCCAGACCAGATCACTATTTATCTATATCAGGGGCCAGTAAACAGTCGCTAGATTCCTGGTCAAGGAAGTTAGGTGAACGAATGCAATTCAAGGGTATTGTGCTACAGATCAAATTAATGCCTCTGAGTTGCCAGATGGAATGACAATCACAAACAGCAAGGAAAGTGGTAGCAGTAGGAGTCCTGAGACCACAAAATGTCATGCAAGACAGAAAGACAAGCATTTGTGATATGCATGGACTCTGCAATGCATTTGTGACAGTCACTCAGTAGGCTCATACAGACTAAATGCTACCATGGCGTCCCCAAGCATTGCAAATTCCTGGATTCTTTTGACTAGTTCCTGCACACACGATTCGCATTTCTTAATGCTTTCCGTAAAGCTGGCACTGTCAGCCCATGATAGATGTTAATTAGCTTATTCATCTACGACTGCCTCAGGAGGTCAGGGGTGATCATTATAGTCAGCTTGGTATTATCTTAGAGGATACTAGTGACTGTAGTATAAAATGCAAGACTTTTCTCAACATTACTAAAAAGGCTGCGTGAGATTGGTCTGGAGTAGTGGTACTAGTAATTACTATATTATTATATATATACCTGATGCATGCCTATCAGACTATAGATAACTGCTTTTAATTTCTACTAGTTATATAAGCAGGCTCTTTGTTATTTACTATAACCACTAGTAAAAACATCAGAGAAAGAAGAGCAGCAGACCTAGAATAAAGATATTAATACTAATTATAACTTATAAAAAGCTTAAAAATATATAACAGCCAGGATTTGCTGGTGGTCACCCACCCAACTACTAACCAGCTAGCGTGTAGCTTAAGTACAGCTAAGTAGATAGGAAGCCCTGTTTTCTACACCCTATAGTTATATATGCTGGTTTCTAATACAAGATTTAATTATATACACTAAGCAGTTCATATAAAATAGTATAAATCTTTATTATAAGGGCATATAACAGGCTTACTTAACTACTATATAGTAAGACCTATACTCCTGAAGAGATTATTAAGTCTAATCCTATATATAAGTAGGAAATCCTTGAGAAATGCCTATAATATCTTCATAATATAGTTTTAAGACTTTACAGTCTCTGTCAGAGTATAGAATCACTGTTCTAGTGTAGGTAGCACTGTAGCTGGGATTCACTGGTGGTTACCCACCTGACTATGAATGGGCCAGCATGTGGTTTAATCATGGTGAGTAGTTAGGTTCCTGCTGCCTGGGTGATGACTAGGTGACTACTTACTAAGTATTATATAACTAGACCTAGGCAGGTATTCCAGGTAACCTGTCTGAAACATATATTAAAAATCTTTACTATTCAGAGAAATACCTAGAAGGGCCTAAAAGTTAAGAGTATAAACTAGTAATAACTAGAGAATATATAGCATATTACTTATTACTATAGGCTTATAAGTAATTCTAGTATAACTTATCCCACCCGGAAAAAATCCCAAGCTCATATTTCATAGTGCTAATTGCGTTACAGAAAATTAGGAGATATTGATATCAGTGTTCTAGTGACGGGAGTGAAAGTGGTCCCACTGCGAAGGAAATCCTGCACCCCTAACCCACCGATTCCTTGCAATGGGTTCTTTTTCCGTAGTATCCATGGCTATATGTGCAACTTGCAGCCACAGGTCACCTTTCATCGGGAAGCGATCACTGTTGGTGATGTCGTAGCCCTGGCAGAAACGACTCCCATGAGCCAATGCGCGTAGGAACTTGGTGACATGTGAATCATCGTCAAAATTATGAACTCGTTGGAAGAGATCATTCCAACCTGTGCCGGGCCTCTTAGGCTGGTAGTCGATAATCTGATTGACATCCAAGTGAGGAGATCCACGTGCCGCATACGCAACGATATCAAACCTTCCCTTCCACTCTAACAGACGGACCTTATTTTCGCCACTCAACCATTTCTGCCGCAGAAAGCTGGGGAAGAAGATAGAGCAGTTAAGGTTGTGGATGAAGAAGAAATCGATCTTGTACTCCTTGGGCGGATTCTGTGCTGCACCACAGAAGAACGCGTTGACGTTAATCATTTCCGCAGTCTTTTCAAACAGTTGCTCCTCAGTGACACACCAGCCAGCGGCTATCTCCAGCAGTTCCTTCGGTGCAGACGCCAATGGGTTGTCCTCGATCCAGCTGCCGTCTCCCCAGCAGGGCGCGTTACGAATGGCATCGTTATCCCGAACTTTGCCCAGTAGTTCGTTCATTGTCCGGGTTGCGAGGTCTGGCCGGCTGTTGGCTGCTTCTTCACAGCCTTTCATGGCTACAGCCACCTCATTCTGGTGTATGGCGGTCTGAGCGAGGGCCTCTGCAACAATAGCTGGCTGGTTAAACTCTAGCCCGTAACCAAGATGAATAAGCGGATGAAGAAAGCCTGTGTTACATATTAGCTACTTATTCGGTTCCTCGTCAGCATCATAGATTGGCTACATACTTGCAAAAAGGCGAGTGAAGAGAGCTTCAGAAACCCCAGTCCGATCAAACACATATTGATTGACCACGGCTCCAGTTCCCTTTTCTCTTATTTCTTGTTGAAAGAAGACGAGATAATCCCGGTAATACTCTTCCTTGCCTAGACTACTAAGGAAAAATTGCTCGTTCTTCAGTCGGATGACATTTTCTTCGTTGAGGGGGTGCTGGGGACGCTGATAGGCTTTCTCTTGAACCCAGGCTCGTGAAAGCTGCTCTGCCTCAGCCCCGAGCGCGTATGAAGCAAGCATGTAATGTGTAATGTGATTGTGAAATCCTTTATCGTTGAAGAAGGGGTGGTATCTTTCATGGTTCTCTTGGAGGATTTGGTTAAGCGTGGTGCGGGAGCGCGCTGGAATCTGTGAGACGGAAAAGACACCAGTGTCTTGTGGGGAAATTGATATCACCGAAGGTGAGGCCATTCTCGTTTTCTTTCTTCCGTGTATTGTAACCCAGGATAAGGAACCCAAGGACCCAGTGTTTGTGTGCTGAGTTGCAGATTATAATCCTGAACGATGGATACCCATAGAGAGTGAGGAAGAGACATAAGGGACGGCAGAGCAAGGAGCGGTAGCAGACTTTTAAGTTATGCGAATTATACATGGAGCCTTTCATCGTGACACCGAGTCTGGGGAAGCTACCCATCCCCCAGCTTGGTCCAAGGTGTTGGCTTTCCGGTCCTCTACCCGAAATATCCCCGATCCGGATCCCACAACCCGGTCCGGAAATGACGGAATCCAGCTGCAACTATCGCTAGAATCGGAGATAGAAACGTCATTCCGGTAATTTGGGGTCAAAGGATATGAGCAACTAACTTCGTGGGGATGGTCCGATGATCCGTCAGGGCCAGAATTCATTAACGGAGCCATGGCGATAGGGAAGTATAAAGAAAAGCATAATACCTGACGATCCGGTATGACTACATTCCTCATCCTAAGGTCTCAAAGTCTCTGATATCAAAGATCATCTGTTTACTATTCCTTCCACTTTTTATTTGCCATCTAAGGAAAGACTCCCATAATGGAAGGTACTACCCAAGAAGTACCGGGCAAAAACCCTTGTGGCGTCAAGCCCTTCTACTGGAAGAAGGGCATTGACCCCCGGGAAGGAAAGCGCCCTCCACTCATTCCTAACAAAAAAGAGATCGCGGATGGTATGGATATTACCTGGGATGTTCCCGTCACCATGCGCGATGGAGTTAGAGTCTACGTTGACGTCTTTCGTCCCGAGGGCATAACTGGAAAGCTTCCTATTATCTTCACGTTCAGCCCGTATGGCAAGCACGGCCCGAAAACCTTCGATATTTTCCCTGGTGCCGATGTTCCCAAGGGGTGGGTGTCTAAGTACGCTGTCTGGGAGAGTATTGACCCTGTCGTGTGGACCAAGAAGGGCTACGCTGTTATAAATGGCGATAGTCGGGGGTCCTGGGGATCTGAGGGTGACCTAGAGATCTTCAGCCAGCAGGAGAGCCGCGACGGCCACGACTGTATTGAATGGGCTGGCACCCTTCCTTGGTCAAATGGCAAGGTTGGAATGATCGGTGTCTCGTACCTATCCATCGTGCAGTGGGGCATTGCTGCTCAGAACCCGCCCCATCTGGCAGCATTCGTTCCCTGGGAAGGCTTTACCGACTTCTACCGCGATTATACACACCATGGGGGTATTCCGGAGACGAAGTTCCTGCACTTCACCCAGTGGTCCTGCCGCGCTGGCGTCAACCTGGTCGAGGACCTGATCGCTAACAACAAGGCACATCCATTGCTTGATGACTATCATCGCTCGAAGTGTGTTCAGGATCTCAGTAATATCACAACACCTGCCTATGTCGTCGCAGACTGGGGTGACCACGGCATGCACACTCGTGGTACTCTGAATGGATATATTGGAATCAGCTCCAAGGAGAAGTGGCTGGAGGTCCACGGCCGTAAAAAGTGGCGGTACTTCTTCGAGCCCGAGAGTGTTAGGCGCCAGGAAGCGTTCTTCCAGAAGTTTCTAAAGGGTGAGGCCAGCGAAATTGACGCCTACCCTAAGGTCCGCATTGAGATCCGTGATCGGGCCTGGGTTGGGGAGTTCCGAAATGAGGTCGAATGGCCCCTTAGCCGCGCTAAGTTCGTTAAGAAATACATTGATGCCTCTGCGGGTAAGCTCCTTGGTGAACCGCCACGGGCTGTGACTACAATCTCCTACGACTCGGATGTGCAAGACAGCTGTGCCCATTTCTTCCTCGACTTTGACCGCGAGACCGAACTCACTGGTAGTATGCGCCTTCGCCTGTGGGTGTCCACCGATTTAGGTGACGATATGGATATTTTCGTTCAACTGGACAAGATCGACCGGGAAGATAGGGTCACGCCATATGTTGCCTTCTCCATGATTGACGATGGTCCATTGGGGCTTGGGTGGCTGCGTGTTAGTCATCGTGACCTGGACTTGGTCAAATCCACTGTCGACCGTCCTTTCCACAAGCACGATCGCCGCCTTCTGCTTCGCTCCAACGAGGTCGTGCCTATAGATGTCGAAATTCTGCCTACCTCAACCCTTTTCCACCCTGGTGAGAGGCTGAGAGTCAAGGTCCAAGGCAACGATTCCTTCCGGCATTCTACCCCAGATGTTGTCCAGTTCCATGAGGACAGCGTGAACAAGGGTAAGCACACCATCTATTCCGGATCGGTGTACGAATCTTACCTGGTTATTCCTGTTATCGAATAGAATGGGTCTATTTGCGAATTGTAACAAAGGATACAGAATTTGATGCTGTTATACAGGCATACACTCTAACTTCAATGAATAAAGTTATATTCCATAACAAGTCCAATTATAAATACGAAAAGAAGAGCCTTTTGAACCATGGGAAAGAGAAAGCTGATTTTTCAACCAACAGAGCTTTCTTTATGACAAAATTGTATAGCATAACCTACATTGTGAAATAGGATTATTAAAGGGCCCATTGAAATCTCGAATTTAACATTGCGGCGCACGAGGTGTAGGTTATTCCCACCGACCTTGACAATCTAAAGCTGTTGAATTTGGTATCTATGTAGCTCTTACCCTTGATTTTTATGAACAAACTCATTGTCACTAAACGTCATAAAGAATCAGTTGTACGTAAGATTGTTGTGAAGCCTACTGTCAGTCTATGTGATCGTTACCCCGTTACCATCCTCCACTACCCCGCTAGCGCCAGAAGAACGCCCATTTACCATTCCCACAAATAATCGGGCTTTATGTGCGGACAAACGTACGGTTTACTGGTCGTTTTGCCGTGGCTGGGAAGTGGCGGAAGAATCGGAGTAGCCTACTCCGTTCCCCAGATTGGAGCCCGTCTAGAAAATATACCGATTCAACTATGATTCAATGCAATGGTGGGATCGGAACTCACTCAGCGGCCCAGCTAAGTCAGTGATCAATTGCATTAGTTAGCGGACGTCATCTCTCGTAGAAATTCGGATGCCCCTACGTAGCAGGTCGTCCTGTCGTGCCTAGGACGATCACATCTCGTTGACTGCTTACCATTCTTCTTTCCTAACTGCCGTCTTCGAAACGCCTTTCCTCTTTTTCGTTCTTCTTCCTTGGCCCTCCTCTGCTTGTAGCATTAACGGAACGAAATCACATAGAAGCATCTTACCAAATATTTGGGAATAAAGAACACGATGAACTTTGAAGGAAGCACACCTGCGAAAAGAAAAAGAACCACCCACGCCTGCGACTCGTGCAGGCAACGCAAGTCTCGCTGCAACGGTGCTCGACCCATGTGCGATGTTTGCCTGGGGATGGGATTCGAATGCCATTATCAACAGCCAGCTAAGCGCCGAGCTGGCGTGGCAGATGCGCATTCCTCATCTCCTTTGGAAGGACGAGTTGAAGCCATGGAATCCCTAATCCAACAGCTTCTGTCTAAATTAAACCAAGGGCAATTGCCTGATACGCCAGCGACAGACGTTATTGGTATCGCTGAGGCGCAGGTACTACCGGAGATGCAGCTGCCGAAGCTGCATCCTTATAACACGGATAGCGTCGACGGAATGTGTACAATTACGTTTGCTGATGAATACTTTCCAGGGTACTTTGGTATGGACCCAGCTCTACTCAGCGTCAATAGTGAATCTGATCATTGGCTCTACTGCAGGACCCTCGTCCAGCTCGGCTTTTTTCAGTAGTATTATTGAAGCGACAAGAAAAATCCATTTTGGAGCGGGCCCGACTGTCAGGCGCGCACAGGACATCTCAAAGCCACCGTCTCCTCCAACCGAAGGACTCCCGGAGGGTCACAGTAGCGAGTCCACAACTAACGGCTTTCTGGATCCTTTCTATCTTCCTTCAAGTCAGGACGTAATGAGCCTGGTGGAAACATTTTTCGCCAACACGGGTAGACTGTTTCCATACTTACATTTAGCGACTATCGTTGACTTCAACGCCATCTCAAGGCCGGTAGACCCAACCCGGGTCAATCGAGCGCACCTGTGTGTATTGAATATGATTATGGCTTTCGCCTCCATTCACTCCCCGTCCAACTCGTCGAGCATCGTCGACAAGCTATCGCACGGAAAGGTATTTTTCGATAGAGCTCTCCATTTATTAGTTCAAATGAGACCTAGAGATCCGACACTGGAATCAGGTATGTACCTGGGAAGGAGGGGGCCTAGGCTCATAAGGGCAGTACACATTCTAACATTGGTTCAGTTCAAGCCGCGTTGTTAGTGGCCCAGTACGTGCAAGGGACGCAGCGATCGGCTCAGACATGGAGTATCGCCAACTCCGCCATACAGGGCGCCTTTCAGATAGGTCTCTGGAGGCAACCCACTGTTGACGACCTCGAGATGGGACCATTGGAAGCGGAAGTGCGCAAGCGCACCTGGTGGATGTGCTATATGATAGACAAGTAAGGCCTATAATCCAAATCATGATCATCTTTGACGTTTCTCCTAACCTCTCCACAAGAATGTGCGGTATGACCTTTGGCCGCCCACCACTTATTCCCAATAGTTATATGGAATGTGAACTGCCTCTAGATGTGCCTCTAGACGCCCTCGCCAGTAGCTTGGAGCGTAGAAGCGCAAACAGTGTGGCCTCCGCGGTATCCGGAGCAAGGTTATATCTAGAGACATCGTGAGGATAACTCTTTTCCACGTGTTCCCCTTCTTTCACATTGACTACGCGCTCACTAATACGGACTTTCCTTCAGGAAGCTTAATATCCTCCTAGGCCAAGTCATAGAAAAAGTATACGGAAGCAACATGGAGCGAAGCTCATCAACTTCTCTCTCTAAGCAGCTTCGTGAAATCATAGATATTGATCATCGCCTAGCTGAATGGAAGCTTGGCCTCCCTACTGGTACGGAAATCCTAAACAGCTTTAACATCGCCAAGCTTGCTCTTGATTCAAGCTCTGAGTTATTGAGATTCCGCGTGGTATTGAGTCTCCGATATCACAGCTTGAATACTTTGCTACATCGAAGAGTACTAGAATGGCTTCTATTGTGTCCTAGTTCGACGGTATCTGGGCCTGACGTGACAGAATTCCTTTGGACTGTCATAAAGGGTAGTATCGAGATTTGTAGCCAATCCTCACGGGATACAATCTTCGTTATTGCCAGCATCGCACATCATCACATTTTGCTCCCCATCTGGTGGTATTCTGTCTACTACGGTATGGAAGCATTTTTATCTCGCTCCAGGGTATACGCTCGAGGACATACTACAGTAAGCTAATAACCATCAACAGTGCTAAATTCCGCCCTCGTTCTGTTCGCTACTTTTCTGCTACCAATGCGCGGCTTCTCAGTGCGGTCTACGTGTACCAACAGCGAACTCCTAGACAGCCTAAAAACTGCTTACGACACGCTTGAGAACTTAGGGTCTGGTACCTGGATCGTTACTCGGAGCAGAAAGCTGCTGCACAAACTATTGTCAATCGTTGAGTCATTTAGTCAGCGCCCAGGGGGTGCGGAGGGTGAACTGGATGATGTCCTTTCCGCTCAGGTCCAACCAGGTGCTACTGGTTTGCCGTTATCTATCTCCGACTGGGATTCATTACCGATTGATGAAGGGTTCCATGTTAACCTTGCGCATTTAGCTTTTGACAATGGCACTGGACTAGAAATGCCATTCGGAATTTAGGGGCAGTGCCTTATACAGAATTCAGGGGTTACGTCAGTTGACCGGAAGTGTACCGTGCTCCTGTATGTTCATTAATGTTACTCTAAAATTATTAATAACGGCCACCAGGACTTGAAATATACAAGCTGTCCCTTGTTTGTTGTTACAATTTACAAGATGACAGCTATATGCTCTTCACTTATATACGGCCCTCCTTACGCAGACACAGTCATAGCCTCGAATTCCTTACTGTACTTGTAATCCGTGTACCCCTCTGCAGTCTGCGCATACATTGTCTTGGGATCATACGGCGCAAAAGGAATTCCTTCTTTGACACGGAAAGTCAGGTCTGGGTTCCCAATGAATGGCCGTCCAAAGGCAACAGCCACATTGTGACCTTTGTATTGCCCCTCCAGCGCCTTAGCAGCAGTCTCACCGTTGAAATTTCCAGCAACGATTACTGGGCCCGCACTCTGGTAGGCATCAAGCAGCCAACCCAAATGTCCGTCTGCCTTTGCATCAGATTCGCAAAGATGCAAGTAAGCCAATTTGTATTGCGCCAAAGTCTTAACAAGTCCCGTGAATTGCGGGACCGGGTCCTCCATGCGCATATTTTGATAGCGGCTCCAGGGGCTCAGTCGAATTGCTGTCCGGTCTTGTCCGATAGCTTCCACCACTGCTCGTGTTACTTCAACTGCGAACTTGGAACGTCTCTCAACGTCTCCGCCCCAGGCATCATTACGCTTGTTCGAGACGTCTTGGATAAATTGGTCAATAAGATATCCATTCGCGCCGTGGATCTCAACTCCATCAAACCCAGCCCTCATAGCATTTTTAGCCGCGGCAGCAAAGTCGTTGATAGCGTCATGGATTCCATCTACTGTGAGTGGCTTTGGGTGGTGCATTTCATCGCTGAAGGTGCTCTTCATAGGCACATCACTGCTGGAGATAAGGTTGAGACCTTGCTGCTTGAGGAAGCTTGGGTTCGCGGCTCGACCAAGAGCCCACAGCTGAAGATAGATATATGAACCTCTATCATGCACCGCTCTTGTCACTTCCGTCCAGGCAGCAATATGTTCATCCGTGAAAATTCCGGGGACATTAGGATAGCCACCATGTCGAGGGCTGATAACCGTAGCTTCGGAGTACCGGGGACGGCAGCGCGCTGCTGGTAGTATTCTTTGACAGAGGGCAGAGGAACGTGTCTGGCATCAGCACGCAAGCGAGTCATCGGGGCCATAGCAATGCGGTGCTGGAGCGTCATGCGCCCAACCTTGATGGGAGTGAACAATGGGGACATGTTGGATGATAATGCAATATTGCGGGTGCTGAGGAAGATGACCGAGCAATACCCATATTTATATTCTCTGAAGGTGTTGTTATAGTACCAGCCTGTGTCTGTATCGGGTTGGATTCCGTTTCAATTGCCACATCGCTACTTTGCACCCGGTTCGGCCCCTTAGAAGACCAACGGCTGAGTAACGTAATCGACAAGTGAGCTGGCCATCTCTGTTTTCCATAGAAAATGGCCTTTTTAAGAATTCGATATCTCACCCAAAGATACATATAGTAGATTGCAGGCCAGATATACACTACGATTAAGTATGAGTAGTCCGCATTATTGCTTTCTGTTTGTGTATATTCTTAATTTACTTGGGGAATAAAAATAACAGCTGTGATTTACATTACTCAAAGTATTGGTGCTTTTTTATACATAATAAACGTCTCCATAAAATTAAATTATAACAAGCTGCGTATGTATATCATTATTTTAAGTGCTCTGGCTGATACACGGAAGTCCAAAAAAGTGCCATTCTATGGAATAGAGAGGTGGTCTGCTGGCCTACACGGCCCGCTCGGCCTACCTAGTTTCCTCCAGTTAAATCGATTTGTCAGCCGACGCGGACAAGGAACGAGCTTATCGGAGTAGTATGAACCGTTAATCCGATTGGTCTAACGTCTTCCCTGTTCTTCGTGCTTCCCATAGTAGTCCGATCAAATAATATACACAATAGGGGGCGAACAACAATGGATCCGACGATAAAGCGCAAATAATTCATTGAAATCACCTTTTCTGCCGGACGCATACGAATTGATGATTTCGACAGAGACAACAGGATTACCCTTTTTCTGCGCAAGTCATATATTGATGATTTAGCTCCCTTTGAAGCTCATATCAGCAGCATTGTTGGAGGAGCACTGCAATCCGCCTGGTAATCAGGATTTTGGGACCATTAACCACGGTAGATTTGGGAGAGCCCCGTAGCGCCGGTACGATCGGTGCAGCATCTGTTAACGAATTCCAGAACACAATGGAAAAAAGTTTTGAAACCCCACAAGTCGCCTGCGCATGCCTCAACCGCCAAATACGCGTAAAGCCGGTGCTTGATAATCTCAAATCTGATTTTTCCTACGATTGATTCTAGAAAACCGTTTCGTTAAACGTTTGCCACGCTGGTAATAATATAAAATCTAGAGGTTGACACAGGCAGTGGATGTATGAAGCATAATTTACCTTTATTTGATTTTAAGCTGCAATATCCAAGTGAAACTCTGGCGAGACTATACCCGCACCATCTATCCAGCATGCCCAGTGCGACAGTTCCAATTTCAACACCCATTCGTGAGCCTATCGGCCCTAATCCCAGCACGGCGCCCGGCTCATGCAAAGTCAACACTGATGGCTCCACTCGGCAAGAACCCTTCACTTTAGCCTCTGAAGTGATCTCGCCGGCGTTACAGGTGCAGCTGGACACATTCAAGGGTCTGCTTGAACAGCAAGGTTATGAACTATCCAACCCAGCAGAAAACACAGATGATACCACTCTACTGTATGGCAACCCAACTACACGATGTCTTCTAAATCCCTGCAGCGTCCTGTCGCTAACTTGCTATATCTGTATAGACGGTTTTTGACGGCACAGAAATTCAATCCAGACCAAGCCCTGCAACAATATCATCATGTCCAAACATGGCGCAAGGAACATGATATTCGGTCCTTTTACCAGAACGTGGATGTTGACTATTACGAAGAAACCAGGAAAATGGTATTATACCATGAGACAATATACCCGAACCCCGTACTTGAAACTGCATCTAACAAGTTATGGAACGTTAGTATCCCCAATGGATCGGTCGAAGAGATAATGATGGACATGCCATTTATGTTTTCCCTGTCCGACACTTAACGAAGAAGAGATTAGACGCATATCTCAAGAAAATCTCTTCCTGTCCATCATCGAAAGCGCACCGTCCATCGAACCTTTCACCGGAAGATCTTCACTTCCACGCTCTCTACGAAAATCTGCTGCACTTTGTATTTCCACTTGTGTCAGAACTTCCGAGGCCAGATATGTCCAGAGCTATTAGCGCGTCCACACATATTGTCGATGTTAGTGGGGTGAGCATTCGCCAGTTTTGGAGCATTCGCAAGTATCTCCAACAAGCTAGCGTCACTGCCACGACTCACTACCCAGAGACCTTGGGCAAGGTATTTGTACGTTAACATGATACCCCTCTTTTTTATCTTACAAATGCTGCTAAGATTGGTACTAACTGTGAGGGATTGCGCCATAGGTCGTTGGTGCACCTGCATTCTTCAAATCCATTTGGGACCTGATCAGTCAATGGTTTGATCCTGTCACCCGGTCGAAGATTTTCCTGCTGTCTTCGTCGGAAGCCAGTGAGGTATTGCAGAAATATATCGATCCGGCCAATCTACCTGCTGAGTATGGTGGGGTTCTTAAATGGGAGTGGCAAGATCTCCCGAATCTGGATGCCGATGCCAGACGACTCGTTGATAATCTCTACGAGAAGACGGATCAGGGGGAGCTTTTCGCCAAAGGGCCTGTAATATTTGAGGATGATTGTATCAAGCTTTTGGGTACGATTAATGGGAAGCCTAGGAGGAACGACTTTTGTCCACGATAACCCTAACTACGGCTTTCATGAGGGCTGATGATTTTTGTTCTTGCGTTATTCTGTGATGGTACTGATTTTGGGATCTTATCGCGCCATGTATACTACGGTCTTCCAAACAAATGATTTTGTTGTCATTTCCTTATGGTATAAGTTCGACTTTCCACGGGAGTCATCAAGCTTGATCAATCTTTCCTGCAGGCACACCGCCACTGGATAACTGCCAAGAATATCCGTCATCTTAAAGGTACCCGGGGGTCTCTCTATCCAGATTGAAGTCATGCGGCAGATCCTACCGGAAGAATATGCCACGGCCCACGAGCCAGGGGCTGTCGGAGTAGATTCACCCGACCTATCCAGTTTCGGCCCGACCGAGTCTGCCTATTTGAATTTGTCATTGGGCTCGGTCTAACTGTGACTTGAGAATATGAGCTGTGCTCTATAAAGGCTGCTCGGTTGGACACCGACGACTAACCCCGCCATAAAAGTGAATCCTCTCCATATCCTTGTATAGCCCACCACATACATCGCTCTCATTAATCACATATTACCGATTATGCAGCCTCTCATCCTCTACTCTCATCGCGCCGGTCCCAATCCGAAGAAGGTCCGAATGATCCTCGAAGAACTCTCCATCTGTTATCAAGTCAAGGTTCTTGAATTCCCGGAAATGAAGAAACCCCCTTTTCTTTCTATCAACCCAAATGGCCGAGTCCCCGCTATCGTCGACCCTAACACGGATGTCACATTATGGGAGTCCGGCGCAATCATTGAATATCTAGTTGACATGTACGATAAGGATCGAAAAATCAGCTTCACACCCTTTTCACCGGAATACTATCAAGCGAAGCAGTGGCTGCATTTTCAGATGTCCGGACAAGGCCCTTATTTTGGTCAAGCAGTGTGGTTCAAGGTCCACCACCCAGAGTTCATTCAGAGCTGCTATGACCGTTATGTCAACGAGATTCGCAGAGTCGCCGGGGTTATGAATAGCGTGTTGGAGAAGCGGGCATATCTGGTTGGAGAAAAGTGCAGCTACGCGGATCTCTCCTTTGTGATTTGGTTTCAATTTGTGCCTTGGATCACGGATAACAAACTAGATTTGGAGCGGGAATATCCTTACTTGAACACTTGGCTGAACTCTATGAGAGGTCGTCCTGCGATTAGAGACGTGTTGGGTGGTGAAACAGCGCTGCCGGAGACTGCTAGGAAGGAGTAGTTTTAAATTAGCAAAGATCTAAGATCAAGTTCTGAGGGCTATTCTTGTTTCTATCCTCAAAATACCATATCCTGTCCAATCCAACCATCCAGATGCTTGATACTCAGATGAAGAGAGCTTCGCCTTTCGATACTAGCTCCAAAGCGCCGGGGAGAGGACAACTCGAACATCCAACTGAATAACAGATGAAGGTCAACATCTACTGGCATGATAACGCCGGCCATGCCTTTGAGATTAGCTCTGGTGCATCCGTACTTGCTGAAGGAAGTGTCTTCCAAAACATCGGGGTTATTGCTGAGCCACCCATCTCTGGCAAGCTCTTCCCTTCTGCTGATAGCAATACCAACAAGGTCTACTCATCTTACCTTGGCCATGCCTGTCAGGTAAACAGCAAACGGTTTGCGTTGGAAGAGTTGGGTATGTAATCGAACATTCTCAAACACTATTTTACTTTTAACCATTCTGAATTGGCTAGCAAATGGGTCTACGCGATGATGATTTGCTATAACGTGGATATAATATGATCAAAGCACTTATAAATAAGATCAGTATTGGGGGATCTAGATCTTGGATGCCTGACGAGCTAGAACATGGCTGCTTAGCGGATTTAAATGACATTTTCCAGATCATGTCAAGGCCACCAGGACTCCCATGTACAAACCACAAGACAGGTTCAAAGCTTTACCTCTTCCGCCATATTCTCTGTATGCACTGAGGCAGGTTTATCCCTCGGAGAGAGTGACTGGGACGGTATTTGGCTGGGAGCTTGAGCCTCAAGCCCGGCCATTAAAGGATTAGGATCCTGCAAGAGTGCGTCAATAAGCAAATGTAAGTCCAAGGTAGGGAAAGAAAAAATCGGATGAAATAAAACCCCACAACTGAGACATTAAAACATCCAGATGTGCGCCACGTACCAAAATGAGCCTATTATTCGAGAGGAAAAGCCTTTCATCTCGTTCTACAAACTCCAGCATCGCTACCGACTCCCCCTTGACATGGAGCCCATTCGGGAAAGTTATCTCATACTCAGTAATGACTGTGATGTCAAGTCCATCAGGTCGATGGAGGTAAACCTTCTTGGGAACATGGTTTAGGCCGGGAAATGAGGACCAAAAGCGGAGAATGTGATTCCGAATCACTTGAGCGCATCTTCCATGTAAGTGCCTGTATTTTTTTCAAGGCAAATTTGTAGGAGCGGTATGAATGGAAAAGTATAGAGAAGAAAACGACTCACTTTCATGGCCTTTGAAGATTTTACAGAATGCCTCGAATTCCCCTGTTGGAAGGTAAAGCTCGCTCCATTGCCTTGCCGCCTGCGGGGTGTAGCCGTCAAGGAGCTGGAAAAATTCTTCAATCGTGTCCTTGACGGCTACTGGGACGTTATCCGGCCAGATTGTATTGGCCGTTTTGGCGGCCATAGCTGAGCTTCAGTTGGTATAAGACTTCGATCGGATAATGCACGGTAAGATCTGGGAGGATGTTAACATGGCACGACTGGGGCCGACTGCAGGTTACCCTCCCCTTTCTATAGCTGTTCCTCTTCCCAGATTTTCGACTAAAAGCCCACTGCATTGACCTCAATTCCCCACGAGCAAAGTTTCCCACCCCGCAGTCTCATGACGCGGGGGCTGGCACTGTCGTGCCCGGCCATCCCGACTCCGCCATCTGGGGGTATATCGGATGTGGACTACGTTACTCCGTACGCCACATATCAACAGCCGAAGAAAAAGTTAAATGTTGCGACAGACTCGTGTTGATCACTAATTCTGTCCCGGAAGTACAGATACACTAAGACGGTACAAGGGAAGGGAGTGGTGTAGTCCTTAGAAAAGCAAGACAAGGATCCTAACGTAGGATACCAACACGGATATAATCTCAGCTATCATCCTTATTTCGCAAGGCACGATAATTTTAGATACCAAGCAGGGGATATAGTCTACCGAAAGATGTGAGTGGGCACTGACCCACGGCGACTATCAATAATCAAACTTGCTAGATGGTTACCTCCTATTCTGTAACACCATAGGAAATGAATACTTGACCGACAGGGGACAGTCAGTGATTTGACGGTATTTCAACAACACCAAAAGCACCCTTGGTTCTCCAGGAAAGTTTACAGTGTAGAATTGCATTTTTGCAGCAGTATAATTCATTGTTCGTCTCGAACACAGTCTAAAATCAACCATACTTATGCGGCCGTTCCTGTCCACTCAGAATTTATTGCAGCCACTCTGAAAAGTTGACAGCGAGCGGACGTTTTGAGGCTGCACTTTCCAGAACCTTCATCTCTTCATTTCCAAAGATGTTGCTTGATAGGAGCTGGAAATTATAGGGTGAGTATGTTTCTGGGTTTGTGTGATTGACTTCGGCATCCAGTTTGTCCGGGTTGGCAAACGAACACAGACGATCAAGCACGGTGAGGAATGAAGAGGCTAGAGCATCTTTATCGACTGGAATAACCAACAATACCTGTCGTACAGTTTCAAAGTCTTGGAGACAAGATATAGATTCCAGGGAGGACGGATCGGCCTTGAGATGAATTGCTGGGACGAGCAAAGCGTGTAAGAGAGAGTATCTGCTCATTGATGAAAATCGTCAGCTTTGAATGAAGATGAGGTTCGAGGACGAAACCCAGAAATACCTACAGGACAAATGGGAGAGTCAACGCAGAGTACTGCCTACTCATTATGAGGTCTGCTATAATTCCAATTGTGACGCGTGCAAATTGCAGCCCTTCTAAACGACACTGTCGCTCTGCTGAGGGATCCTCTGCCACTGGTTCAAGCGTGGTATGGCATTTCATTTTCAGCCACCGGAGAAGAAGCGGTCTCTGGATGAGGAGTCGAAGACTTCTATCGCAAAGCATCTGACGATTGCGAGAAGCAATGTACCAGTCCGGTACGGGGTTGATGCCACTATGCTGCGTGCAGTATGGGAAAGCATTGTGCCACTCGTCAATTTTGCTCTTAAGGGCATGAATTTCGTGCGACGTAACGGTTGGCCGTTCCAGTATAGTGCGATACAGGCTGTTTGCCATGCGGTGATAGCTGGACTGCTGTATCAGGCCCGAATAGATGGTAGGTCCGTCTGCCTCTGCAGGCCAAGTTCTAGATGAGTGTGTTAATTCCTAGAGTAAGCATCAGTCCAGAACTGAAATTTGCTAAGGATCCGCCAGGCAGAAAGGTTATTCAATTGCACGAACCGAGTCATTGATGTTGGATGGAAGGTTGACCGTGATCAAACTGTCTTCTGGAAGTAGTAACGGCCGTCCGTACATCTTAGCCGAGCAACTCCCAAAGCAGTAGACTGACCACCAGACCCGTCGCTGCATTTCCTGAGTGAGCAAGGAGCGCGGAGGACTTTGCTGATCGGGTTCCCGGTAGAAGTTGAGGTTGACCGCCATCTGTATCGCCATTCCTGAATATTGTTGGCTCTCGTCCGGGCTCCCCTGTCTCTGGGCAAAATCGCTTAGCAGCACCAGCGCCTGCACCATGGACAAATTGGCTCCTGTGAAGATGGATACTCGCTTCAGATGGCTCTTGGCCCTGTCATTATACTTTGCATAGGTCTCGGGTCCCTCTGGGCTCAGCCAGGCACCAAACGCTAGGACCATGTCACGGAGGATCGGCCAGGCGCTGGAATTAGATCGTAGCGTTGGATTCTCAAGCTCAGAACGGAAGGTCGCCTCGTGCACAAGGGGATACATCGTGTGGTAGGTGCTAAAATAGCAATCCACGAGCCGTGTGTCTTCCTTTGCAGACTTTATCTCGTCTGGCCTAACCGGCTGCCCAAACACTCCAAGGAGTGTATCTACGCCATTATATTGCGCGGCGGGCGACAGCTCCAGGGGGTTATTTGAGGGCGCCTCCTCGCTCGTAGAACTCAACGAAAAGTCACTCGCATGCTGCGTTTTCTCCACGCAATCCTGTAGCGTATGCCCTTTGTCCTGAGGTAGATCACCGTTTAGTACCAGTCGGAGGACGGAATCTACTTCTCCAGCCGGAAACAGCCTGTCCAGGGCCATCTCCAGCATTTGAACTCTGTTTTCCACCTCAGTCAAATGCCTAGGCTGAAAGTCAGCTTGTATATTATCAGTCGGTATTGGCGCGAGAGCGTTTGGCCTTACTGCCGGGTCAACGGAGTCCGCACCACACCGGGTGGATACACGCACTGCCGATTGAGTCGCTTACATTGCAAGCAGGTAGGGCGTCCTTTAGAACACTGCACAGTGGATAAACAGAGGAATCACACCGTCAACCCTTTTTTTCTCAAGGTTCTGGCAGGCACAGGGGTAAGTGATTGGACAGACCTTGGACTTCCGTGCGCGACATTCTGCACACTAGGAGACACATCCCAAGGTCAGCACACTTATTCAATCACCGTTAGTAAATGGATCCACCTGGAGCTCACCGCTGGAATGTGCGAGTTGCGCCCGTATGTCCCGGGCTCGAATGTGTCAGCAGGCATGTAAAGGGAGAATTAAGTACAGTCCACGATCAAAGTGTCTATAAAAGGGGATCGCCTTAAATGCAGGATCGTGAGTGAGGAGGCTAATAAGATTGCTGGTTGCAGATAATTTGCGGGGAAAATGTGTCTGGAGGATAGAAGAACTGGGGCGCGATGGATGGTCGATGAGATCAGCACGTGTGCCGGGAGGATTATGGAATAAGAGATCCAAGGCTACTGCGCATTCTTTCAATAATTATTGGTTGCCACCTGGGTGTCACTACGAAGTAGATTTGGTTGATCCACCTGAAGGAAACTGTTTTGGTACATACCACTAACTAGCTTGATCCGCCACCCGAGCGGGGCAGAAGTTTTGCCCCAGTCGCAGAAGACTTGATATCGATCGAGAGCTACTAAACCCATTATGAGCGGGTAACATTTGTTGGTCGAATTACCTTTTCTGGTAGCTAAATGACAAGTTAGATCATTAACCAACCATTGCTACGATTCATCATATCTTTGAAGCTTTTCAACCACCAGTTTCATGAATTGCACTGCTATATGGCTATCTATTGTAGCAACTTCTTCCATTATGTCCAAAGTCCAGCATCAACTACAGCGTGGCGGAGCGCGCTGACAAGATGTAGTTGTTGGCTCTCAGCCTACTCTTTAAGCTGCTTATACGATCCTGCACAGTTATAAAGAGGTTATTTCCTAGTCTAAATTTACGCTCTTCATTGCCCTCGTCTTCACTTTCCGCTCCTTTTCAGCCCGTAGGACCTTGGTTTTCTAAGGTTTTCATTCATTGCCATCGGCGCGAGACGTTGAATATGTGATATTGGGCTGTAAGCAGGAGAGCTCAGGCTTCAGCGATCTATATAGTGCGGATATGTCACCATTTTTCCACCCACGGACGAAGTTCAAACTCAAATGAAAACGCTGTCCGTGGCTGTTGATGTAGATTCCAATAGGTTTCGGCAATCTGTGAAGTAGCGTAAGCTAATGCTCTGATTTCTAACCTCTCTCAAGCAAAAAGCTTACTGCATCAGGATTCAGTTTCGCATCCGGATGCTCTAGAACAAATTGTCTCGTCCGCGGCGTATCAATCATCCCATCAATAATGACATGAGAGACGTGAACACCCTGTGGGCCGAATTCCCTCGCCAGCGACTGAGCCAACGCGCGTAGCGTAAACTTGCCTGCGGCGAATGTCGCTAGACCAGCACCACCTTTCAAACTGGCAGTTGCTCCGGTAAAGATGAGAGTTGGTGGAGATGTCAGCTCGGTAGACTTCAGTAACAAGGGCAGGGTTGCTTTGGCAAAATGGAACCCGCCCTTCCTATTCAGAGCCCAGATGTTACTCCTCTTCTGTTGTGATGTAGCTTTTCCGGACCACGTACCCATGAGTAATAAATCCTTGTTCAAACTCTGCCTCTGTCAATTCCAAGAATGGTCTCTTCACGAAGCCCCCGCCCAGATTAAAGACGGCTGCTGCGAGCGGGATACTCCCAAACATGTCATTAATCTGCTTGAACGCCGCTTGAACACTTTTGGCCTCGGACAAATCTGCGCTGACCCCGATGGCTTTTCCACCCTCGCTGTTAATCTCGCGGGCGACATCTTCGTAATTGGCAGGATTTCGTGCCAACAGAACGACCGGATAGGTTTTTGCAAACCTTTTTGCAACAGATCTTCCCTACAAGCTCCATCCGTTACATACTGGGTTGGGAAATGACGAGGAGGAACCTGCACGTACCGTCCCTGGGCCGACCCCTGCAATGATCGCGAACGCCTTGGCTGACATTGGTGTGTCTGGCTAGTAAAAGTACCTATTATAAGAGTATGTTTGTGATAAAGTATTGGAGATTTGAGGGTGTGATATAATTATACGTCCCGACCCTTGCAGAACAAGACCTGGGCTGTGGACCAAGTATGGCGTCACGACAGGGATTACTTCCGAGAATTCGGAATGCCGTAAGTTGTTAACAGGGCCCACTGCGGGATACTGTCTACCGATGATCTTATTGGCAGATTTGGTCTCTGTGTCTAGGAGCTCCTAGAGGGCGAGGGCGCTGGGTAAAAAGAGCAATTGCCTCCGAAATGTATGTAGATATATTTCTTACTCTGTTGAATACAGCAGGAAATTTAAAAATGAAAAAACCGTCGCATTTCCATCATTGCCGTGATTGAGCCCAAACCTTAGTCTCTTCTGACACAGGACAGGCAATGATAAAAGAAGCCGCTGCCGAAACTGGAGGGTATTTTCAACCATAGAACATGTTTATATTGCTAGAAGTAGTTATTCCTGCGCTGAGAACATTGCATTTGACTGTGTGGTTGAATATGGCAGCTACTGCAGTTTGGGGATGCCTACTTGAAGGTGTTGTTTTGCATCCACTGCCTGTGTGTAGGGATGGTCAGAATAGATACATTAGCCTAATTCCGGTATTGAATATATTCAACTCCTGCCCTTCCTGGATAGAGTATCCCTTATCATTCTATCTGTTGCCTTGACTGCTGCTTTTTGAGGTCTACTTTTCATGCATAGTGCAAAGTTCATGTCTCCTTTACAAGAAGGATAGTACTATGTATAGCCATTTCACAACCCTTGGTAAGCTAGTCTAGAGTAGTTAGCCTTCGTAGAGGCGGAAGGGCTATAAAAGCGCTCCTTAAGCGGCTTCATAAACGTGCTTTCCTGCATTATGGTAGTTTTAAGTGTCCACAAGCAATGCAGTAATTTGCCTCCCTGCCAGGTAATACTTATCTTGACTTTGACTAGACGTCTGATCCTGCATTTTGATAAGAGTCGGCCAAGTCCTCTATCTTGTGATCCTGCATGAAGCCCTTGAAGGTGACGGGTTTGACTTGAGGATACTTGGAATTATCCAAGTCCTTCTTCAGGTATGTCTGTCCGTTGGTGCAGTAGTACTGGTAGAACCTAAATTAATTAGCGAAGCGCCTGCTAATAAGGCCGTTAAGGACACCTACATGGCAAGGTAAGCAAAGATGTTACTGGGATCTTTCTGGAATGTTGCGTGCATGGTGTTGTAAAGATCAAGCAGCGATCCTAGGCGCTCAAGCTTGGGCTTCTTCCCGTAGACCTCGGCAAAGTCATCCGCGATCTGATGGATCGTCCTCCTGTCGCCCAAAACTAACATGACTCCAATTAGCTTCACTCATTAGACGTCTCAATATCAGGCAAACTCACAGTGCTGCATGCCAACCGCATTTCGATCCATCGCTACAGCCGCGACGTATTCGGCGGCGGTTCCATATGTAGTCGACTCCCAAACTTCGTCACCTTCTCCATAGTAGGACAATTTGAAGTCCTTGGCATTCCACACTCCGAAGTACCCGCTCCAGAATGTCTCCATAAATGCGCCAATCAGCACGTGGACCCCCTGTACGTTCTTCTTAGTCTCCAGGTGAGCCTTGACATGCTTCATGGGGTCCTTGGCCGGGTGCTGGCCGTACTCCAGTTTGGTGAAGTCCAGACAGTAGTCGCTGGCGACATAACGTGGCACGTTCTCGAGCTCACATGCGTCCACCAACAATTTTTGCCCTTCCGTCATGAAGGTATTGTCACCTAGGTAGCAGCAAATTACCACGTCGCTCCCCTTGACGAATGCGCGTAAGGTATCCAGATTATCTGCATCCCCATTCAGGATGGTAACACGGGGTGAAGAACGTAAATGTTCGGGCAGCTTTGCCGGGTTGCGGCAGAACCCACGGATGTTCACGTCAGGGTATGCGCAAAGGTTTTTGACAACCAGACGGGCGAACTTGCCGGTGATTCCAGCAATTCCCACGGTGATGGCCATATTAGGGGACGGTTGTAGTTTCGTATACCTGGTCAGAATTGACAAGTAAAGTATAAGATCGGGATATAATCGGTAATGGGAGATCCGGTGGGCGAAGTCGGAGTGTTCGGTACCTTTATATCTCGGCAACATCCAGGAGTGGCGACATACTGTGCTGGTGAAGAATACACCGCAATGAGATTGTCTCATAGACTTGGCTGTTCAAGCCAACGAGAGTCACGGTTGACTGTCTTCCGGGGGCGGATCATCTCCCCACGTCAGGCTCGGCATTGATGCATTTGAGAATCAGTTGATTCATGACGGCACAACTGTGCCTTTAAAAAAACAGTCAGGTTTAAATTAAGACATCTTGTTCAGCTTGGACAAAGATGCTAGCAAATAAGCAGGACAAGGTTGCGAGATTGTCAAGCCCTGAATAACAGCGGGTATGGTCATTTGCTGACCCAAAACCGACGGTGGCCTCTCCACGCCGCGGCTCTTGACGCGCTACTAGTGGTGGGGAATACCAGAAGGTTTTCCCATCGCAGTAATATCTACGGTGAGCAACATTTATCGCATTCCATATCTACAGGCATGAAGTTGTTGTCTCATTCCCTAAAGCGCCAAGATGCACCAACTGTATGATCCAACTCATACCCGTCACACCAAGGTCAGCTACGGCTAAACGTCATAGCGACTTGTCATCGAAACCGCAAATTCCAACTTGAACCGGAACCAATCCTAATTTGGGCGGATCGAATTGAGTTTTTGCGAACTGCTGGTTAGATTGATCCAAAGTGTTGGGTTTTACGGGATTTGCGAGTTGGACTGACCCAAACCCGCAATACTCTGCGGCCTTCCGAATTCCCAAGAATACACTGTAAGGAACGTTTTGTCGCACTCCGGTTTCTCTTATTTCTCTCTCCTAACAGAAGAGAGGCTAATTTCTGCAGTATCCGCAAACGAGTAGACACTCGAGTTGATGGTGTTAATGTTTTTACTCGACTTTTAGGCGATATGCATTGTGCTGTTGCAAGATATAACAAGCGACGGAAGAAGCTGTTGAATAGCCACTCTTCTCTGTTCCCACGCCGAGCTAATACTATGTGTACACATTGTAGGGAAAAGATGAGGCTGGGGTGCGTTCATGTCCAGTAAATTTGGTTGCGATCTTGTATTTGTCAGTTTTCACTCGTTTTTGTCACTGAAGTGTATCTGTTGAGAATCCGGCAGGGTTTCATACCCTGTCTGTCATTCCTTTGAACATGCCTTTACCTGATAGATCACATCCCAATCAACTATGTGGTCCAAGACAGTCAAGTATGCTACCCTCTGGAAGTTCTGTAGAAAAGACCTTCAGCCACCACATGCCCATGACTGTGGTCACTAAGAGCAAGGCAGAGCCGTATGTCTAGTTCAGTAGGGATATTTCAGACTGGTGCATCAGTGTAGAGGGAGAAGATACTATCCACAAGCATAATATCCAGCCATAAAATCGTAAAGTCTAGGTTTTCTGCCTTGATTTGTCCAAGGTCAAGGCAGTTATCCATAATTCGGCATGTGCTTTCTTAATGCTTTCCGTAAAGCTGCCACTGTGAACCCATGATAGATGCTAATTAGCTTATTCATCTACGACTTCCTCAGTAGGTCTGGGGTGATCATTGTAGTCAGCTTGGTATTGTCTCAGAGGATACTGGACTGTTGCGTAAAATGCAAGACTTCTCTCAACATTACTAAAAAGGCTGGGTGAGATTGGTCTGGAGTAGTACCAATGGTAACCACCATGTTATTATATATATATATTTGATGCGTGCCCATCAGACTACAGATGACCGCTTTTGATTTCTGCTAGTTATACGAGCAGGCTCTTTGTCGTTTACTACAGCCACCAGCAAAAACATCAGAGAAAGAAGAGCAGCAGACCTGGAATAAAGATAAACGATGCTGAAGCTTTATAACTTATAAAAAAGCTTAAAAACATACAACAGCCAAAAGTATGGCCGACCTCACCTAGCGCCCACCTTTCGGTCGTGGGCGACTCGCCGCTGTACTCAGGCAACTCCAGGCAGCTATTCACTCACGTAAATTCTTCACCCAAAGACCACCGAAGGTACAGGGCACGCAGGCAAAAGGAGCATTTGCACATTTTGGCACAGGGAAAGATTTTGCGAGCGGCCAATGTGGAGAGCGACGGAGGATGAATCATAAAGAGGCCCTGGGAGCGTCCAGCCGCGTCCTCTCACCTTTAGCCTCCCCGCCCAACTCGTCCTAGACTAAACAGTCAAGATGCACCCTCAAAATGACCAAAAGCAAGGATCAAGCTGCCAATTTTACCCCTATCATAAATTTTAATGAGCATGATAACTCAGAAATCCTACGTGCCGTCCTCCCGAGGACTAAGGGAGACTACCAGCTTGCGCTCTGTATCTTTAACAAGTTAGCGCCTCAGTAAAGCCATCCCCCGCCCGAATTTAGCTTGGAAAACCTTCAGAGAATTTATCCCATCCAGAATACAGAGTTTTGCTTAGTGATTAGGAGAAGCTCACAGACCGTCAACCGAGCATCGGTACTCGCAGCCACCTCTATCCTTTGTGTCACCTCAAGCCCGATTTGAGCCAAGAAGGGTCCTTCTCAACTGATATATGGTGTCTCGCCTATTCCATAATGTAATACTTGGCCGGGGCCCCTTTTTTGAGGACATACTTGCCACACCAGACGAAATCACAGCCGAGCAGGTTGACACCTTAGGAATATTTCCTGGGCGTTGATGGGAGAAATGCAAGGTGGGACACGAATATTTTGATGAAATCGGAAACTCCAAATCAAGGTCGACCTCTTGTGCAGCGGGGTCTTGGAAGGAACGCTTTAAGAAGCACATTCAAATCCCACAATGTAAGGCTGGAGAATCAATTTTTGATGTCGAAGAGAAAGCTGCTGTAATGAACATTTTGAGATTGGTGTTGTCTGACCCAGACAAGAGTCCCACCAGTGTCTTGGCTTTCTCGCGTGAGATTAAATGACTTGCTGCCTCATTTTCAAGGCCAATTCGGTCGTTAGGCATATTTCAGTGCGGGGTATGGTGGTTCCTCCCGTCATCATAACACTACCATCACATTCGGACAAACAAGCCTAATCGACTCCGAATTCAACAATGAACCCTAATGAATATAACCTCCGCTTGAGGTGGGCGGATGCGCTGGGAATAGAGTTTCTCGGTCCGGTGGAGCCAGCTCGTTGGCCACAAACTCACGAGAGACTTTTCGCGGACGTACACAAGCTCGGCCGTCGGATATACGATAATTTCGTCGAGAGTATCTCAATTGACTCTATCGAGAAGCCCTGGAGAAATTCGATGAGACGCCGCGCTGATCGCTTGTGTAAACTGGCAGACTACGCTTGGGAAGAACGAAAAAATGAAAGTAGCTGGAGGTTCGCTGTCGAGAACGAGATAATGCATCGATTCTCGGTCGAGGTTGCTTGGTGAGCGAATGCAAGAAAGATTGGTTTTGAATAATGCTTTGCTAACAAGACTCTTGCTTATAAACTTTAGCCCTAGATGTCGTAACAGATTGTGGGAGTCAGAGATACCCGCCGCAGCTGGCGGTGACCTCGTGCTGGCGGAGTCGCTCCAAACCCGACGCCAGAAGCGTAAGCCATGCCGATGTCCACTTACCTGGGGTCAAAACCAGTAAGTAAAAAATCTTCCGGATTCCACTTATCTTATAGTCGCTTATCTAGCACCAGGTATGACAGCGGTATCAATATGCTCTTCTCTGATCGAGCAGAAGAGAAAATCCGGCATGATCCCCCTTTGCCTGTCACTTCACAGCCCGAAAAGAGGAAACGTTACGAAAAGCCAGACCGAGTTTATGGATTAAAGCAAACTGATAACTTCAAGCTGCTTCTGGACTCAGATGACAAGCGCGGTGCCACGACTACACCTAGTCTGTCGCTACGTGAAACCATAGAAGTCAGTCCATTTGAGCCAGAAGGTAAGCCGTTGCTTTATCCATTTCTGATCATTGAAGCAAAGTCAAGTAAAGGAGCAGATCGAGCGGAGGTCAACATGCAGACGGCGTTTGTGATTAGGCGCCTCCTAAATGTGCAGCTTGACCTTAAATTAGCCACGGGAGAAGAAACGCAATGGGAATCAGGGCCACTTGTCTGGTTCTTGGCATGGCGGGGTGAAATTTGGGACGTATCTGCGGCCTTTGTGATTGAATCCAAGAATGCGTCAACGAGATACGTGAGTCAATTTTCATCAGTCACAAAAAGAAGGTTCACACTGGACTGAGACCTCTTAGCCTGTTGTTGATTTGTGGAGTGGAAACATTCGCTACCAAGATGGGGCCTTGCAACTCCTTCTGATCATTGACTATATATTTGATTGGGCTCGCGATATTTACCGACCCGCAATATTAGCTGAACTGAACACCTTATCTACGGGCGATATCACGGCCGCCGATACGAACGTATTTTCAACCATCTCCCAGACACGACGTATCTCGAGTTGGTTGAACCACGCTCAAGGTACACCAACACCAACGGTTTCAGCTTCAATGACCAGTATACACCATAATCTGGACTATCTCAGCATTAGTTGTCCAGAAGGAGCTATTCGGGATGCGTCCGTCCTTGAGTCACGCTATCTCGCGCTTCAACTCTTAGAGAGTGACATTGACGATTTTTTGCTGTCCTTTGCATCGATTGAGGAGGCTCAGACCTGGCTTCAAGGAATGTTGAAATGTCTTTCCAGCTCATGGAGAGTTAGTGCGGAGACACTGGGTACTTTGGAGAATATTTGGACGACAGAGGCTCGATTATCTCGGGACGGATATCAACATGATGAAGTTTTCTATGTCAGAATCGCAGTTCACATGTTTGTGTCTCACAAGTGGGAGCCTACTCGTCAACTCACATGTCTTTGCATCTCGGAAGGAGCTTTGCAGAAGCTTCTCACAAGAATGGAATCCCTCCAAAATCTTGAAATGCATCAAAACCCAATCGTCTCTACGGCAGCGATTGAGGCTCTGCTTTGTCGCATACTGAATCAGTCGATTATGGACAATTTGACGGCAGCGGTCTCTATGCTGTGCATTTCCAGTGGCTTCGATAAGAGAGATGGAGTTATACCCAACCACTTATTGGTGACTAGGTCTAATGAGCTGCGCGTTGGATTTCGACATGATAAGTCGCCGTATCTGATCAACTTGGTATCATCCATCTATAAAACTCACAAAATTGGACAAAGACAGCCGCGCGACCCATACATTGCCTTCTCACATCTTCAAAGCAAACAAAACATCGTGTACAGAGGTGATGAAATCCAGATGTGGCCCAAGCTACCGCCTCTCGTCCGTGAGGAGCGATGGAAATGTGTCATGGTTGATGGAATATCCGAGAACAAAGAGTTTCCCAAACGCGGTCTTTATGTATTCGATAGTCTGCCAAATCACCAGGACCTTCTTGAACTTCCGAGCACATTATGGAGGCATGGTTTATACTTTCGCACTATGCAGGTTGTGACAGACATATGGGATGAGAGATACTTCCGATATTTAAACATCCCAATTAAACTCAAGGGAGAGTGGAATTCCAAAGCAGACTCTGAGGCATTCATTGATTGGAAGCAGAGCTTGCGAATGCAGCTAGGGATGGAGCAACAAGCTGATCGCCCAGGTGACAGTGCATCATTACCAATGATTATCTGCTAGAATGAAGAATCGGCCAAGTGTGCGCTAGAAGTGGTGTGAGTGGGAACATGAAATATACCTGAAATATAAACGTGTGAGAGTTTTAGTTATAGAGGTTTCAAATTGCAAAAGGTGAAAGCAAGAGAGCAAAAGAGTGGGAGAGCAGAAGATGGCTATACCGAAATAGGAAATAGTCAAGAGCTACCAGATCAAGCAAGAATTGAGGTAGGAAACTAAACGTCCTCGAGCTGCCGATATCTCGCTGAGGCTCCGGTGTCCCTGGAATGATATAGAAATCCATTATTCCGTACCAGGACGAAAGCAAGCGGCAACGACAATTTCCTTAGTACCCTGGACTTCCCCTCCGGGAGGATATACTACTGAAACCTTCAGATTGCGACCTTGAAGCTCCACCAATAACTCATAGTGGACTTCGTAATGCCTGTCATCCCCTTGACCCTTTGCTTGTAATGGGTGTCGTTCTTTCGCGCTGGTTAAGTCAAACATCACCGTGTCTGCCCATCGGGAACCTAATTGGCGCATGAGTTAATTTTCAACGCATGCCAAACATGGAACCAACTAAGCCATATTATATCACTCACCTGCATTCTTTGGATGGTCCACAGGGTAGTGGTCCTGGGGATTTTCGATCAATGGATTGTAATAGATGGATTGTTTGATCTTCCAAGGTTGATCTACTGGAATGACTCGGTGGTTACTCTCCTGGACCGATTCGTTATAGTCCGCGAGTTGCCCCTGCAAGTGGTTAGTATGAACTCCTAGAGAAAAATAGAAGGAACCAACCTTTTTTATGATCCACTGTACTGTACCATAGACATACTTCTTCTTGTTAAGACCGTTCCTGTCTGGTGGAGCCTCTCTATGGGCCGCAAATTTCTTGGGATTATATGGCTCAGTTTGGAGTATGCCAATGTTCGCAATAGTTTGACGCAGTGGCCCTTTGCTTTTATCAATAGCGCGGTATACCGTCCCTCGCGACACAGTCGTTTCAAAGACACTGGAATAGAACGGTCAGTGAAGAGTCAATAACCAAAGGACATGCAAGATCGCACCCAGCCTTTGGACTGACGACCTTAGGATGCCTCGAAAACCTTTTCCTCAAGAAGCTTTGAAGGGTCTTTGACCGAGCGTAACCACCGAAGAGGATGATTTTCTGTTCATGAGAACTTCAATTCCCAGTGTCTCATCCAGCGCTTTTCCATTCGCAGAATCTTACCTGTACCCTCAGACCAGTCTCTGCACAAGCATCAAGCTGTTGCTGGATGAGACCTGCGATGCCTTCAAGGCTTGGCACAAACCATCCCATGACCCGGTCCCTGGAACGTAATGCATTAGAAATTTAGTGACTGAGTTTGTGCACGCATGGAGGGAAGCTGATCTCTACAGACCTCTTGAGGATGATCATGCCTCTTCCAAACCCCTTAGAAGGGTTTTCGTCCAACCCGTACAATTCCAAATAAGCGTCTCCCTGCAGGGCATCTCCATTATCGAAATTTCGTTTCACGTCGTTCTCAAATTTGCGGAACAGATTGTGAGAAAGCTGATGCTCCATCGATATTTTGTTCTGGGAAAAGCATGGCTCATCTTTTAGATCCTCTACAAGATCAGATTCCATGGCCCGATTGACACAGGTTGAACCAAAGTTTCCTCCTGTATAAGGAATTAGATCCAAATTGTACCCTGAGGGAAGAATCAAGAATCTTACCGCAGGGTGGGACTGCCTCAATCAGCCTGAATGGACTTTTGTGCTCCACAGTGTAGGTTGTTACATCCTTTTTGCCCCGTTAGCGTACTTCGCCGAGTAGCGGTTCTCTCTAACGTGCTTACCACTGTGCCTCCCCCGGCGTCACATACCATGAACGTCTCCCGTCTCTGTATACTCGGAAAACTTAGCCTGCTTTCAGAAATTCGTTGATGCAAAGATATCACTGACCGAGACATTTGTACCCCCAACCACATGATCCAATGCAAATGCAGAAGCAGCTTCTGGCTCGTTTATTATAAAGAAGCTTGATACTTGACCAAAAGCAGTTTCGCTTGCAGCTTCACGCACGATCTGTTGCAATGACCATGAAGCCTCTATCGGCCATCCTGCAGGAACAGACAGGGAAAGCTCGACCTCGCTTGATTCGGTGAAATTCACCTCGTCTGTGAGATAGTCCTTTGCAAATCGGAATACTTCAACCAGGTAATCCTTTACGGCATCATGTACTGTTTTACCCAGATGCCTGAGTGTTTCCCTCACCTCTCGAAGTTGGTTGTCTGTCTCATCTTCCTCGCTCAACTCAGGGTCGGTCAACAAAAGCTTTGTAAACCTTACGAGTCTGCCGGCCAGACCTGATGTTCCTCCGCTGTAGTGAAATTGCTCCAGTTTCTGGCGGGCTTGATATCCCCAGTAATAGCTGCCGTCAAGGTATAGGCTCTCGCTTGGAACTTCCCCTCTCTGCTGATCCCGGCCAGCGGATGGCCAGTCGGTGATGTCCTTGATTTTGCTCTGAGGTACTTTTGCAGGGCGCCTGCCTGACTTAAAGCGGTAGTATGAGATTGACGTCATGGTTGTTCCAAAGTCTAGGCCTACAATATAAGTCATATTATCTTGGCCGTTCTTCCTCAGGATTGGTGTTTCCATTGGAGTTGTAGGCCGAAGCCCGACGGAGTCGCTGTCGGATACGGATGGAGTAAATAGGGCATCATTTGCCTCTGAAATGTCTTGAATTCGCCGTTTTCTGTGCGCCAAAGTCGTTGACGAATTTGATCTTCCTGGCATTTTGAGGGCCACTTGAGGAGTTGAGGGGCTGTCTGGGAGAAAATTTTCACCGTGAGCACAAGGGACGCACAGGATAAAGTACCATTTGTGACACCGTCACGTGGAGTCTGTTCTAGCAGGGGTTTTGTTGCTACTAGTGATTAATTGGATAAGTCGAGTCTGCCTTGCCTGCCTTTGGCCCCCAAATTGCCCACCTCTTCCTCCTGACCACCTCATGTAAAAACGATTGTTGGCAGGATTTGAACCTTGCCGATTTGACGACTCTTTTCCTCGTCTCTGTTCACCCGTGGAAGGAGCAGCTGTCATACAATATGAGCGACATGAGATTTCCCAGCGCATCTCCCATTCCATCCAGCTCCATTGTGACCGTCCCCTCTGAATGCAGAAAGCCAGAATGGTGGTGGCGTTGGGGCTCCGAATCTCCAAAGGAATCTCGCAGCGCAGAGTACTCTGAATCTTTTATATTGACCCAAAAGCGGAATCGAAAACGATCAAGGCGTTTTCCAGAGCCGGAGCTCTATTCTGGCGAGGCAGATACAGATGCCCAAAAGCGAATGCGACTTGGTGGTTCACATCCCGATAACCGTATCTCCAAACACAAAACGGTTTCTGGTTTGGAATCGGAGGTAAGAAGGTTATTCATTTTTAGAGACTTGGAGGTCATTGACAATGAAAGTTTTAGATATCTGCCACGTCCTTTTCGCATGGTGAAAGCCTGAATGCGAGGAATGAGCAGAGCGACAGTATGGCAGAATTGAGAGAAGGCAAACGTATACCCGCAGCGCCTTTTGGCACCGGAGATGGGGCTATTACAGAGGCAGGAGCCGCGAAAGAAATTCAGCTCTTGAAACGAGAAATCGATCTCTTGGGCCTACACCATAATAGGATAACTTCAACTTTGGAGCAAGACATCAGATATTTGCAAGAGGAAAACTTCGCTCTCTGTCACAAGCTAGATTGGTATAAGACGCAACACGAGGCCAAGCCCAGTGGATCTTGTGCTTCGGATGAGGTGGAGGGACTCAGTGCAGAGTTAGAGAGGAGGAACAGGGAAATTGAGGAGAAGATCAAGCAAAATTCGTCGCTTGAAGAGCAACTTAATACTGCAGAAGGATTGAGCGCTGTACTGAGAGACTCACAAGACGAAAATAATGTTTCAGTGATCTTCTCTGAGGATTTGGCTCAGCTGGAGACTGCAATGAGCCAAGCGGCTTTGCTCCTTGTTCAATGTCTCTCCGACAAACAACTTTCAACCGTACGGAAAGCCCCACGCAAAAGCCCAGAGTTAGATGCGATGATCAGGTCAAGTCTTGGGAAAATGAGTATTCTGGCTTCCCACCCGAAACATGCCTTTTCCGCGCTGCTGTTCGGTTTTACACGAGAGCGAGTTTTCTACTCGGGTCGTTGGACTGCTTTGCAACTCGAAGGCTATATGTTAAGGGGATATCAGGCATTAATTCAACGTATCAGTAAGTCTCGGGCAATATGATCCATAAGAGTCGCTACTGAGACATGAGAAAGCTCCGCGCGGCACTCTCGAAAACCTCCACAGAGCAGCTCTTGAGCTAATGCTGGAGGAAAACCATCCGTTTCGAAATTGTTGGGTTCAGTCGCAAGTTGAAGAAGTCCAGTGCGAGCTCCTGCGACTTCTTAGCCCGTTAATTGATGCATCAAAAATGGGAATATTCGACAAAGATATTCGGGCTGCCCTGAACCGCCTTTTTACAATGGCGTTTCACTTTCGTGCCCGCTGTGTGCCCCCTAGGGGCACTCGCTACGAGCTCATGCAAGTCAAGGCAGGGGATATATTTGACCCACAATACATGGAAGCTCAAAGGCCTGATGGATGTATTCAATCAGTTCCTAGTGGAAAGACGCATCGAGTTAAGGTTTGTGTTCACGGTTGTCTCGTTTCCCACGTCATCGAAGATGAACCATTCAATGGAGAATCACGCAGCACAATCAGTCAGCCATTTGTGTCCGCATATGAGAGGGACCGGTTGATCGAAAAGAAGCTAAGGGGGGTTTTGAAGAGTGGGAAGGCAATTGTTATCTTAGAGGATGATACACAACCATAGTCCTCCCAAGAAGATCTCTTGGAACATCACACAAGTCCAAGGTGATATTGGGAGATCAACTATTTGTGAAAGGAGTGGAAGCTAAGGCTCTACCCTCAATAATGAAGTTGTTCCTTCTTCTCATCATCTCATCCCAGTATCTGACGTCTACGTATCGAATTGAAGAATAAACCCCGCAACCAGACAGAGCCTGAAGAGGAAAAAGATGGGTAGGGGTTTACAAAATTAGAAGTAACGCCCGTCACAAGGCTCTTTCCGAACCTTTAGATAGAAGAAGCCTTTAGATCGCTCAAGGCTCGAGACCGGTGTCATGGCTTTCGAGATAATCAATCAACGCAGCCGGGTCTTCTGTTGGGCAAAGAGACAATGCCAGCAGCAGAAACGCATCTCATGATCATACCTTACACAACAGCTATGCTAATTCTGTACAAATAAAAAGCCCTCTCAGAAAATTCGTAAACGTTTTGCACGCCTTGATTATGGTGTTTTGAGGTGGTCCACTCGCCCGTGGATTGCATCAGTGTTCCTGGTATAGTCACTCCAGGAGCTCATGCTCATACTGTTTCATGTCTGGTGGGCGTCTAGTTATGTCAACTCCTGGATGGCTGGTTATGCTGATTGGGGGCTAGGAGAGGTACGGCGTAACGAAGCACCTGAGTAACAGAACAAAAGCGTTAAAGCGTCTATCCAACCAACATCACCGTTGTCAAGGGTGTCGGCACTACATATATCCCGGTGGTGGTAGATGTACGGAGGACATGGCAGTAGTTGTGACACTAGGAAACAGTGTGTAGATAGAGTGGTTAGTGTTGAGCGAACTGGTTAGCGGAGACTGAGGGTATGAAGGCAAACACGTCAGCTCCAGCACTTCTCCCTTCTCTCTTCTCTTCAGTCTCAGTATTCATTGCAGAATGCACTCTTTTATCGAAGAATAGGCTCTTGTCACAGTAGTTATCATGGCTGTAGCAAAGTACTCCTTATATAAGGGCAAGATGAACACCCGATAAGCAGAGTCTGCCAGTTCATAGTTCAATAAACACTAGCGGATCAATATCTACCAGATCCTCGTGAGGGACAACGAGAGCATGACCTAGTAAACCCTGGGTGCTTTCCACGGATGTGAAGCCCTCAAGGCCCTTCACGGTGGTGGTCCATCCGCGAGAATGAGGTAGCCCATTCAAGTCACTCTTATTTCATGAAGTTCCTCATGTGCTCGGCTACAGGAGAGCTCTTCAATTGTGTTTATTTGAATCAGACCGGGCTACGAGTTTCTGTACCCCTTCTTCGGTTAGAATCCTCACTGCGTCCAGACCAAATAGTTGTAGTGGCCACAGTGAATCTATTTTCCTTGAACAGCTCCGCTGAGGATCAGTTCAAGCCACCAAGAAAAAGCAAAGATGGGGCTGGAAACCGAGTGGAAAGGAGAACGGGAGAGAGAGGGCAAGTTTAGCCGAGGGGCCTCGTCAGCGCTGCAGGGGCGTTCAGGGCGTTTGGGTGAAGAATAGAGGGACTTCAGGGCGTTCAGGTGAAGGGGCCTGAAGGGGCCTGAAGCGGCTGAAGAGTAAAGCGGTAAGGGCAGCCATGCCAACGAATGACAAAAAAGACTCAAGACAAAAAAAAAACATACAACAGCCGGGATTCGCTGGTGGTCACCCACCCAACTACTAACCGGCCGGCGTGTGGTTTGAACGCGGTCAATACCCAGGTGGGTGCCTTCATGGGTGACGGGGGGTGATGCCGCTTGAAAGAGGTGGTGATTAGCGTGGGTGCAATATAGTGAGGTGGTGACGGCTGGAGCATACATCACCTTTGGTGAGCCTGATAAGCCTCGGGAGGGAGCGGTCCACCTGGGCGCGAAACAGGGCGCTCTGGTTGGGGATATTCATAAATCTGAAACACCAGACGATCCACAATCTATTGATAGGCTTTGCCCTCCCTCTAAAAACATGAGACTTGCTGCGCTAACATGCTTTGGACGGCTGGCTGGCCCTAATTTAATTTAAAACCTGCTGGGTTGTCTTTGTGAATTGAAAGCCTCGGTCTTAACAGTTTATTTGGTGAGGTCATCGCAGTTCACAGTATGAACTAACCACATCACTGGGGACTGATACAGAACATTTAAGAGCGCACTACAATAATTGAATGAGTCTTTAGCTTAATTTCTTTTTAGGAGGTCAATATGTACTCTATATATGTTACAGATTAGCATGCTCAGGCATGAAAATAATAACTTGAGTGAGACATACTGTCTGTTATTAGTAAGAGCACAAAAGTCTCAGCTGCCTCAGCATAGAGGGCCCTACAATGTTCTAAGAGCTATTAGTTTGGGCTAGATAGCCTCACCACCTCTCCTCTCTCAAAGAAGCCAGGTAGATATGAATTTTAGCAGCTTCATTCTCCAGTTCCTCCATGAAAAGGAGATCCAGATAGGACAGTTCACAATATTGTGTTTTGTTATAAAATAATATATGACATTGCACTAGATGAATTCACCTAGCACGGGCGTTGTAAAGGTTAGATGATTAAGTGGTGAATGCGGCTCTATGTGCAGGCATGTGACTTAAAATTGGGCGGTTATATGATTTGAGTAATTTATCCTTGGGCTTCTACCTCTAAACATACAGCAACCTAAGTAACATGGCGGATCACGTCACACCTCCTAGAACATTATTAAGTCTCTGTTAACCCTCTCCCTTAGACTGTAAGCTTCCTCTCATGTATCCTCTGCCGTCAATGGTTTGTGATCACATAATAAGGGCCTAGTAAAGCTACTTATTTTCTCAGTCCATATGATTATAAAGGTGTATTACACGCGCTTGAGTCTGATTCATGTCTCAATTCTTATGTTGAGGAAGATCTGGTAGGCTAACTTCGCCTCCTTCCTCTTTTGCTGGTTACTAATGACTAGGAGCCAGTTATAATTATGATCCTCTTCATTCACGCCTAGCATTCAAATGTCTACACCTCTTGATGAAACATTTTGTGCAAATGTTGTTCGCAACAGAATGAAACAACATGAACTATTTAAATACTGGACTGGACCCGAAGCACGATGTGCAAAAAGAGATTCGACGCTTTGCATCATCACAGTTAGAACTGCCTGACCAGGAAGATGAACAATGGAATATGTTAGAAGGGAGCCTGATGCGCCATTTAGTCATCACTTACCACAGTTTCTCGGTGTGATCATTCAGGTCGGCTATGCTCAGCCTGGCAGAATCACTAACAGATGCATCTTATGCAGCGATGTTAGCATCAATAGTATATTTAAACATTGAGTACAGTGCCTCTTGAAAAGGTTCTCTCTCCATTTGGCATCTTGGGGTTAGAGAATTTCAGGCATGCCGAGCGATGAACGAACATGTATGGCCCTTTGTGCCAAGGCTGATTATATACTTATTAGCACCAGGCTTTTCGAACCAATGATGACAATCTGTAGAGTCAACTACACTGCGACTGATGCGCAGGATTTTGTAACAGAGGAGTTGACTCGGGACTGTCAAAATCTTAATCAAGAGATTGTGATATCCTCAGAGGACCTGTGTGGATTCCTAGCAGATGCAGAAACAAGGCAGATCGCCCAAGAACGACAGAGTGGCTCTGTGAATCGCCTCTCTCCGGGAGTACAAAAAGGTCCTCGATCTGAAACTCCCGGTGGGATCAGCTCAGAAAGTCGACCCAGAGACTAAAGTGAGAAAGCAAAGTGATTTATGTTCCAAGTTCTCCGTCTGCGAACTGGAATAGTTGAGCTCTGAAATGTCTGAGCTTGCCTTCGAAGTTCCTCAGGAGAGGTCGCCGAAAAGAGTGCTCTGGCCTGATGCCTAGGCGGCAGGTTATGTCTTCATTTTAGAATCCACGGCAGCCATGACTAAGTCAGGTGTTCCCAAGCGGCAACGCTTCTTCTGGCCCTTTTGAGATAAGCCGGCTGAGAGCTTAATATGGACCTCCACCACCGTACTAGGCGTACGTAAACTAAAACATGAGGATCTGAAATAAGCACGGCGACTTCGTTCCACTCCAGGACTCACAGGGTTGCTATTGTCGATGCGAATGACGACTGGAAAAGACTATGGGCGATATATTCGATTCTATTGTCTCGGAATGGATGTATAACGTATATCTATACTCATTCCAACTCCCGTGCGGCTATCAGTGAAGAATCCCTAACAATAATCTGAACGGATCGACTCCTCCACCTAAGCTGCTCGCCGCTTCGCACAGAGCAGCTTCTTCGTTTGAACAATGAAAGCCCCATAGTTGCCGTCACTGGCTGGGTCTACATGTAACGATCGTGCTAGACAACTAGGATTTTCTACTTGTGAAATCCTTGAACTTCTCAGTTTCTCCTTAGCTGCAAGGCAATGACAAGACTGCATGTGCTTTGGAGTTCTTACAATGCCTCATATCCTTGAGCTTTTAGCTGTCACGACATGGTCCCATCAGGTCATACCTGGAAACTTGACGGGTCAGTGTACATTGACTGGAGTTCTTTGACACTGGAGACGGAATTATTGAACATGGTGACTAAATATTTGGATTGCCTTTCCACTTGCAATAGTGAAGAATGAGTTGCCTTGATTAGGCCCGCTGATGAGAGGGATCATTCTGAAACAGTGGCAAGTGAGTGTCAGATAAACTTAGTTATAAATTAGACGCACTATAATAGTGCGAACCTGAGAATGAGAGGGTCTAGTTGCACTTCTGTGACCAGATTAGGATATACATCTTGGCGATCTCTCATTATTACCTTTTGTCAAGACACTGCCAGGGAAATTGAAACAGTCTGCACTTAAACATCCTGATTTTATTCGTAAGGGCGACGGAATCTCAAGAAAAACAGAGGCCAGAGGTTAGTGTCCAGGAGAACTTGACTGTGTTCGTCTCGTCTGAAGACAGATCAAGAATATCAGGCTTTGCGCAACAAATTGGCTATGGGGGATTCCTTGAAAGAGGATGATCTTTACTGATTGACAGTGTTAAGGAATGAGTGTAGGTCATGAGCAGTGGAGACAATGCCAGCTGCATCCAATATAAGCATATTTATAACCAGTTCATTCCGATTAAGGTGGCCCAATGTGACTACCAGTACGCCGCTCCCTTCTTAGTGACTTGTGGTCACGCGCCTCAAATAGGTCGGGTCGGGCTCGGAGCCTCGGATAATATCGCCTGACCACGGTAGCTGCGCAAGTGGCAGATTTCGAAAACCGTAGGAAATCGCGTCGGGCCCCCATGCCGCCATCTTTGCCCCTCCTTGCCCCTCTCGGGATATACCAAGAACAAACAAACACTATATTATGAGAGGCCACGGTCCTCAACTACTTTTCTTGAGTCCTCACCAGAGACTGTGCATGGGATAAGCACTTATACCCGCTATGTCTGAACCTCTCTCTCCCTCCCTTAAACCCATTATCGATAAGGTGGGGGGCCTTATCAGCGAGGGAAAGGTAGAAAAGACAATGATTGCTGGTGGATGGCGGTACTCTGGCAAAGATTTTGAAGACCAGATCGCGGAACTAAAAAAGGCGATGACTGATGGCGGTAATGATGTGAGTGGTGATGGTGTTTTTATCCGTCTTTCCTTCTAATGAAGCAACGCTAGGTTGTTGCGTGCCATGCGACTCATTTTACCCGAGGTGCGAATATTGCCAATCCTACGGGGAGACTAATCCTCATTCAATTACACGGAACTTCAATTCTTGACCCCGGCGGACTCTTATCACCTGGATCATACCAATACTTGGAAGACTCTCGAACACTTATTTGCGAAGATGGGAAAGGCGTTGACGTTGGCGTCGTTGTCCTTGCAAAAAAATCAACCTTTAAGAAGGTGTGACGACAGGCGAAAACATATAACGTCAAGCAGAGTGAATGTACACTTAGAAAGAGAATGGTGGTATAGTTTCAGGTTTAAGAAAAATATGGGAAACGAATTGCTAAATTGTAGCGTGCATATGAAAGAGATTATAATCTGAAAAAAGTTGAGAGTGAGATTGAGCAATGTGCTCAAGAGAGTTATACTCTTGAGACTGTGAAGAGACTTGAGATTGAGCAAAGTTTGCGAGTGGATTGTAATCTGGAAACAGCTGAGAGACTGAAGGTTGAACAAAATGCTCACGCGGAGTATGATCAGGGTTCTCAAGCGGATTATAAGCCGGAAGCTGAGAAGGGAAAGAAGCCTGGTCAGTGTTCTGAAGTGGATTAAAACCTGGAAGCTGGGAAGAGAATAAAGATTGATCAACGTGCTCTCGCGGATTGTCTGCAGGCTGGGAGAGGACCGAAGCTTGATCAGGATTCTCAAGTGGATTATAATCTGGAAGCTGGACTGAAGCTGGAACGAGATGCTCAAGAGGATGTGGAAAGTCTGAAGAGATTGAGGGCATCCGTCGACTACTCAAGAGGCCGTTATTAGAGATGGAGTCTTGGTGATGGGAATGAACTAAAGTCCGAGCCAGGTCACTAGGGGGATTATGCGAAGGAACAGAAAATCCACCACCGCTCAACGACGCATAAGAAGGTTGGGGTGATGCCGCCTGTAAGATCATAGACGCCGGACTGTATGCATCGCGCGGTGAAAGACCAGGAGCGCCCTCTGGATAATGGGATGGTGAATTAGAGCCTATTCTGGGCTCAATTCCCCGAACAAGTTTTGAGCGTTTCCGAGTTCTTGCTGGTAAACTATGCATCTCTTCGGAGCTTCCTGGTCGGGTAGAGCGGCGTTTTCGTGCTGTTTTTAAGCTGGCCTGTCCCGCAGTATCCGTCGCTAACAGAGCAGAGGTAGAACTTGTATGATGGTGACTTGGCGCGGTAACAGAAAGCCCCGAAGCATTTACGGCATTCCGTTGCAGTATACATGCCTCGTATATTGACTTAAACGCTAGCCGTAGGTGCTTTCGGTATTCGTCATCCCTTGTTTCTTCGAAAGCATCCAATGCCTCTATCTCAATATCTTCAATCTTTTTCCGTTCAAAACTATGGTCGTCAGCTAGCGATTGAGCAGTATATGAGCAGTCACTGACTTAGTTGTACAATCATCAAGAGGGACTAGTACCATCTCTCTGTGCCTGAGTCGTGACCATTTCTCTCCGTACCGTTGTAGACAGGCGAGTCTGGTATGTAGCTTAGTTTGCTCCGACGCATTTTGAGAGCGGTACGCCTTCGCCACAACATTGCTGACGGCGCTATTGAGGTACGTTTGGTGCTGCCGCAGCTGATTCGGTTGGATTCTTAACCGTGACACTTCCTCGCGGATGATATCATACAAAATGATGAGGGTAACTCTGCGTCGTATAGGTTCTTTGCCGTCCGCCTTTTTTCCGTTACTCTCCTTTGCGTTGTTTGCTTTAGGCCTTTCTGCGAGCCAATGTTGCACGAATTCGAATGGTGTACGGAATGGATCCATACCCCAGAATGCTGATGGGTTCGAAATCCAATATTTTAATGTTTCAGTATCCTCTTCGGTTCGACGGCTCCAACTTTTTGTGAGTGCTGCAAGCCGTATCACTTGATTGTCTGATAACTTGTCGCCTGACTTCGATTCCCAGTATGTGAACCATTTTTCAGGATCCAAGTCTGGATCAGGAGCTCTTAAAATCAATTCACGGCATGATGCGATTCGGCCGCGCGAGTTGGCGATTTTGCGTAGTATTTCGGCGAGTTTCTGGTACCATCAGGTTGATATGAACGTGGGACCGGAGTAAGAGAGTGGCTTACATCGTCACCAGCATCTTGTATGGCAGCCGTAAGTTCACGGAGTTTACCAAGTACCTCTGATATAGTCCCACTTTCCATTGTAGGGGAACTGTGTTTGCCAAAGGTCGACTGGAAGAAAGCCTGGAGCTTGAAGATCTGAAGCTGGACAGGTGGAGTTGCTTCTAGGTTGGCGGGTCTTGCTCGGCCCCTGAACCCCGCAAATATGAAAGGAAGGTTAAGTCACGTGTATGCCAAGCAACCCTGGTACCCACCCTTTTATCACCCTGAGGATTTGGATATCCTTATGGTTGTGACAAATGGACTCTCCCGAAGTTGTTTGTTGGTTATGCTCTTCTGCTTATCTCCTCAGCTCAGCATCCTGCCTTCCTTTCTTCCTCTGCCTTGAGAAATACGCCTTGTAATCTGGCAATTTACTTCCACTCATCATTTGCGTGGGAGAATGAAGGGAGAGCTTTTTGACGCTACTGGTTGAAAATCAAAGGGGCGCCCTCGGCTGAATTATTTATCCGCGGTAGCCATACAAGGATCCTCATGTCACGTGCGGAGTGTAGATGGTCTGGAGAAGTAAAGCGAGACAAATCAACTGTCCATCCTTTGTACCACCCTTATTCCCTCCCAATATCTCTTCCTATAAAAATGTGCAAATCTGAAGCCCGGCATATTCATATTCGCTAGCTTTGTTAAAAGGTCTGTACTGTTGAGCAACCATTCTTACAGCTGGATGTTCCGCACCCTTTGTGTTTTTAAGATCCCGACAGGATATTCTTGCTAATATCTGATCCAGTCCTTTCTTCAGTAGTGGAATGACATCAGTTTTTCAGCTCTATTACAGAAATGGCTGGAGTAGTAGTATAAATTGATCACAGTTTAGTCTCACAATGACCTGAGTGGACTCAAACGGCACGGAAAAGGAGGGGCAGCAAGTGTTATAAGGTTCAAGGGCGAAGCTGTGCGAAAGCAAGGAAGAAACAAAACAGTCCACCATGTATACTAGGTTAAGCTGGAGCTCTTTCATCAGGCATTAATAGTAGTGATGTGATACGCTTCATATGCTCCTTCAAATGGTCCTGTAGGCCGTACCATGTGTAGACATTGCCACAGAAACAGCACGGTGGATTGGCGTCTTTATCCTTGTCGAACCGGTAGTTTCTGTCAGTGGCTGACATTGCCTCAGAAGTGCTCATCTTGTGTCGACGAACCAGGTGTTTATGCATACATTGTTGCCGATAAGTAACGTACGTGCAGTTTTTGCACTCCCACAATGTATTTGATTGATGATGGACTTGGGAGACATGGCGCAACCACTTGCGTTTATTTATGAAAGTGCCGCTGCAACCCGGAAGTATGCAAATGAAGAATCGCCCGTGTGCTTGAATAAGATGCCTCCAGTTCGACTGTGCAGGTTTCTCAAAGTTGTCGATGACACTCCCAAAATGACGAAGTTGTGCGCGAGCTAAGCGGTCAACGATTTCAAGCGTAAGTTTTGGGAATTCCTTCTCGATTCGAAATTTTAAGGAATCGACGGTCTGTGCCAGAAGTGGAAGGTCTGAGGCAGAGGCCCGGCCTTTGACGCTGTTAGGTAAACAATGATTGCTGAAGCACAATAAGTACTCATTCCGAGAGCAGACCAACCGACCACAAACACAAGTGAGTGGTGGCAATGGTTTGTCCTAGGCAACCAAGTAAGCGTATCTGCCCTAAAGATGACTAAAGATGACATACAGGACATGTAGACAAATGTTTTTTTCCAACATGCTTCTGTAATGCGGCGCGGCATTGATATGACCGGGAGCACAATATGCAATTATAGGTTGTATTTGGTGAACTTGTTTTTGGCGGAAGTTTAGGTGGAATTAGGAGCTCAGATATCGGCAGCAGATCCTGGAAAACGGATGCTGCTGCTGGCGGGGAAAGCATGGGATTCAAAAGGCTTCCGATAGCTACCTGGCGTGTGCTGCTCCGCGTAGAGTCATCAACTGTAGGCCACCCTGACAGATTGTCAGCCGGTGGCTCCCGGACAGAAGTAGCAAGTTTGCTGGGCATCTGAGGGACTGGACAGAAATTGTGGCCGATGTTAGGTTTCTCATGTGCTTCAGTGTAAGGTCCTCCAGGAGAGGCAGCAGTGGCTACCAAATGCGAGGGCCTAGCCGAGGGAGGGAAGAACTTGACAAAAGACGACTGGACCGGGAACGAAAGGCATAGGATACACTGCCGCTCAGGTAGTTAGTTTGATTCCTCAGTTGATTCAGGGCAAGTACCTTCTCTTCGCAGGGCATTTTTGATCTGTGCTTGCAAAAAATGACTCAGGATGCCTAATTTGAAGATGCATTTGGAGTAGAATGAAGTAGGATACGCAGTTTGGGGTGGATGGGACAACGGTATATAGCTGTTGAGCCGTATTTTGCAACAATCTTTCTCTCTCTCCCTTTTTTTTTCTTTTCCCCTCAAGACAAGGATTCTGTTCCCGGCTATGGTCTGTGAGCCACATAGTTGGTTGCAGCCAGTCCATGCTGGCAGTGGCAAAGTCCCCTAGTGAGGGACTAGTTAGCTTTTCTCCCCTTGGTATTATTTTCGAAAGTTAGCGGTTTCTAAGGGTGGAAGTATCGTCAATGCTATGGACTCCGCCAGTAGGCTGCTTGCTCAATTGTTGGTATGTTTTACAGCAGCATGCATAGCATAATACGTTCGATGGACATCCCACAATTTGTTCGCACTATTTCAATTTTCGTATGCTTGGTTTTAGTCTAGGCTGGTTGGCCAAAAATGAGCCGTTGACCACTATGGTTCATTTCCTCATAGCGCAACCTCGTTGAAGGCAAAGGCTGGCCTGGGTAGAGATGGAAGCTGCTTCATGAAAAGCATGATGCAGAGCCCAGAGGGTCCCATCTGGGGATCAGGAAGCGGTGTTGTAGAGAAATCTACGTATCCAATCTATACCCAACTAGAAAATGGATTCTGGGTGGGGAGAGCTTGGTTATCAGCGACTTTGCACCATGCACAGGAACCGGGCTACAGGCTCATCAGAGCTTACGTCGTCTGATAGTCTTTTTTCATAGTAACTGGACAGTAAATGCCTATGTTATACATAACTTTGGATTTCTAAGCACGGCCACACGCGCGAGGATGTCAATTTGGAGTTGTCCATCAAATCTGTCCATCAAATCTGTCCATAGTTCTTTCCCATAATCAAACCCATAATATCCTATATCGATCCTAATCCTCCATTTCCCTTTGATGATTTTGCTGCTTCAGAGACAGCTTATAGCGGAGTCATAGCCTGGCTCTTCCAAGAGCTTTGCGGGCAGAGAATACTGAGCACCAACGCCAGTCTTCCTATTTAGACTCAGAGATCAGTAGAGGGAAAAGAACTTAATCACGCTACATACTCCTGTAAATCTCTGATCAACAACGCCTTGTCTAAGGTAGATGTAGTAGTAATCGCATCGTAACTGTTTGCTGTTTAGCCATAAATCATGCTTTCTAATTAACGGGTCTCACTCTAATGCGGAAGTCTCCCGGTCTATATTTCATGGATAATTTCTGTTTCAATCTCTCCAGGTCGATAGAAGTGGCACTGCGATGATGGGAAGCTGTGGCTTTGAACCCTTTGGAATTCATAATTTCTCAACTTCTTAATCTTGAAGTGAGGTAGGTGCAGGATTTTGCTTCCCGGAGATACTTCAGCGGTATTTATCAGCCACACCAGCCCAAACTGGTGTCGAACCAGTCATATTCCTGTTACTGCGACATACAGGTACCAGCCGCAGAATATTCTTCGCCTTCAGCCTTGGCAATGAGCAATCAGTCAGGTCAAGCGCGTACCAGTTCCAATGAGTAAGAGTCGTAATTAGGGTCACGCCTGTTTCGTCTCAGGGGAAACCACGGATCCTTCCACAACTACTCTACTGGAGCATTCGTTCCAAAGAGCTGACGTTTCTAATTCTCTGTCGGGATTAGATAAAAAGCTAGTTGTGGATTAAGTGGGTGGAATGCTTAAGATACATGATGTATTCCTTGAGTCCAAACGGCTGAAAATCAAAAACCTGCACTGATATAGCACTTGATCTTTTGCCCTGAGTTGTCCATGTGGAAGATAAGCAGTCTGTATGACTTGAGTATTCAAGTTCCTTAGTTAGTTGATCCTGTCATCTACATAATTTATTTTATTTCTCAATGAAAAACATGAAAGTCAATGCGCAAAAAAATCAACAACGACCTCCCCATCATAACCTTCGTCTTTCTTGATGCATTGAACCACATTCTGATAATGAGGCTTTAATTCCATCTTGTACTCATAGAGAGGATCTGTTGTCGGCTAGACTGAATACTTGTAGCCAGCGATAGATTCATCCACCTGAGCCGATGACCACATATGATTAGGCCTCCACCCGAGGTTGCTGCTGGCCTTTGACGGCTCATCAATATCAGGACCTTTCTGGGCTTTGGTATGAACCAGCAAGAAGGTCAGAATCAAAGAAATGAAGGTTGTCCCTAATGGATACCAGCGCATCCCAGAGGCGTTGCTTATCGAGGCGGTTGTCTCGGAAGAGTTCTGAGGTGTTGAGATCTCTTTCCATAGTTTCGATTTCGGGGGATGTCAAAGATGCCAAATCTTTGGGGAATTCTGGTTTACAGGGGCGCACTTCGATACTTGCACAGAGCAGGATAATGTCGAACCTCCATCCAAACTCTGGTCCTTTATTTTCTGGAACAAATCCGTTGGTAGAGTCGCTGGAAATCTGCTGGACATTCCACAGCAACCATCGCAATCGATCTTGCACCTCCCTCATCTTTAGCTGCACTGGGAATATCGTGGTAAGCCTCCTACAGAGCCTATCCCAATCAGCATACCCAGTCCCAATTCTTGGTTCCCATTCGTTTTCCGAACGAGCAAGGATATTGCGAATCTCGTTAAAAATATGGGCCCTGTATGGGAGATCGTAGGTCGTAAGAAGGTAACCAATGATGAGAAGTAATTGTTTAAACCTCAGCCCTGATTGCGAAATTGACTGGTGGGTTTGGGATGTTGCTGAAGACATTGTCCTATAGCTATACTGAAGCTGACCATGGGCCGACAG